TACTTTGGATTATGGGTACCTTAAGTAGGTCTTGAATATTAAGTAACAATAAAGATTTACCATAGGATAACCTAAGACATGGGCACCTGAAGCACCAATGACATATATGATGATCACATATGATGTCACAATCCATTTTAATAATCATTCTTCATGCTCATAACTGATGGGAGGGGGGGTGTATAGAGATATTGTATATCGTATAAGAGGGTGAAATATGAGGAAATATATGGTATATGGTATCTCAAGGCACCAACAGATTAAATATGTTCACTAAAATTCCCCATTAAGCTGACTCTTCGACTGTAATTGTGTTAAAGGATAGGTATCGATATGGCGAAGTGAATTCAACAATGTTTTTCTCTTAAACCAATCAGTGAAAACATTCTGTAAAAAACACGGTCCTTTATCACAGGCTGGTATCGAAAAATGTGTCCGCTGTGACGGAGCGTGCTATTTTGCATAGAAACACTAAGAAACCGACACCATTTATTTTTTACTCATATGTTTTGCTGTACCAAAGAAAATTTCTTACTCCATGCAATGGATATATCATTTTCGGGTTACTTTAACTTCTGTTTGAAGTCCAACAACGCTAAGAGTAAAAGCTATTGAAAACGGCGCCGGGTTATCATACTCCAAAATATAATGTACCATTTCTTTTATTTCTTTTTAATGGTACATATTGACGCGATAATATTTACATATGTTTTCAGCATAACTCTGAAGGTATTAATGAGATCTTGATGTATTGGGTATTTCAAATATTTTTTTGGTACATTGAATGAAAAGGATGCAGTCAGCATTGGTTTTATGTTTTCTTCCAATATTGCATTGGGCTCTGTATACTGACTTTTGCGATGTTTATAATCTGGTCCAAAGCTAATTTTGGCCCACTTTGCAAATGGAATGATTACTCCCCCAACCGTGACCAAAGAATGATATATCATTGTAAGGAGGAGACACATGGCTTTATGGTGCATTGAATGAAATCAATGCTGTTATCACTGGTTTTGTGCTTTTCCGAGATCACAATCTGTTGCGGTTTTTCTGTTTACGCACTGTAGAGAAAAGTATATATATAAATTTCAAATTATAATGTTTTCATCCAAAAGATGACCATTAAATTGACGATATGTAAAATTTTCAGAATCTTTTGATGACTGGTTTAAGAGAAACACGTGTTCAAAAAGTTCACCATATCGATACCACTCCTTTACATGAAAAAAAAATCCGTCTCTATTAATCTCTATTATCAATTATATTTTAAGGATTTTTTTTCCCTGTGAAGGATTCCATTGACATTTATATAATTCATTGAAAAGTAAGTCATAAGAAACAGGAACACTAACACTGAGTTCCACCCATTCCAATGATGCACGTTTATGCTAATTTTGAATATCTTTATGGCATTAGTGTTTTGGTCAAAGTAGGTTGTGAAATCACTTAAGAGAAGTCATGAATCTTATTCCATAAATACCTGAAAATTATATGTGATCACAGAATTTCTGAACACAATCGGATGTACCCTAATGGTGTCTTATTCATAATGCAATAAATGAAATCATTTGTGGTCTGTATGTGCAGTCTATTTGCCTTATGATAATACATTTACTGTAGTACATCTTGGTTATCCTAATATGATTTCCTTATAAATATCCAAACTTTAATCAACAGCAGTTTCAAAATTATCGTATATTGTATTTCACCTGAACTTTTGTAAAATATCGTATATGGTATGAGAGCTGTGAAAAATATTGTATATGGTATAAAAGGGGTGAAAAAATATTGTATATGGATTTCCAACACCCCCTATACACCCCCCACTAATGCCCAGTTCATGAAATATGGTGACAGTCCTATCAACCATAACCAGCTGATTTAATTCTTAAATCATCTCTGTTGTCCGTGGACGTGGAACATCCTCAACAGATCTTCTTGGCTCTTCAGAAATATTTCTGTAACATCTGTCGACATTGCTTAAGTCAATTTTCATCATCAAATGACTTCTTTAGCATCTTATAAGTTTTTTTGCATTGACTTTTCATTCAAAATAGGCAGTATATTAGTTCTCTCCGTCTTCTACATTTATGGAGATCTTACGTTTTCAATTCAACCATTTTTTCAATATGGCCGACTTGACTGAATTCCTCAATGTCTATGTCTTCTCTCATCCTATCGCTCGGTATCGACATGTAATGACAATTCTGTTATTGGTTAGGTATTTTGACATCACGAATAAAAGTAGATCACATCAATTAACAGAAACTTTTCAAAATTGATTTACACCTAAGATGTTATGCAAATAATAATGAATGTTTGGTGATACTATGTATCAAATTTTGTGTTCTAACTCAAATTAGTCTCTGAGATCGAGAAATGGCTCTATTTGCGTTATTTGTTGATCGTCCCTTGTACTGAGCATCGGTTATACATAGTATTGTAATAATTTCGACGATGATCAGAAAAACATTGGTACACTACTATTAATGTTTTTTTGTAAATAATTTCTCTCTAAGACACTCGTAATTCCCGAAAACCCAAACATTTATCAGTAACGTTAACTAAAATATACTCACAAGGCGTATGTAGAATCTTTTGAACTGGCTGAAAGATCCCTTCAAAACAAAGGTTATGCACACCGAAATAGCCTGACAACCTTAAAGTCAGTTACCGTTGTCACAAATGGCGAACATAGCCGTCGCTTCAACTCTAGATCTTCAATCACTTGGTCCTCGTTTCATGGCACTTTATAGTCGCTAATTTTGTGCAAGTATTAATTTGGGATAATTTACAAAGACAACGGCATATGGATAATAATTTAAAATTCAGATTCCGTTGTCATTGACGATATCGAAGAGGCTATATTGTAGCGATTCACGACCCAATTTGATCGACATTGGGATTTCATATGATACATTATCACAAGAGCTTAATACATGCACAGAATTAGCGACGATTAAGTCCCATGAAACGAAGACCAAGTGATTGAAGAGTTGAAGTGACGGTTATGTCCGGCATTTGTGACAACGGTATCTGACTTTACCGTTGTCAGGCTATTTCGTTGTGTTATGTGAAGCATTATACTTTTTGATTAAATCCATATTCAGGGCGACTCATCATCTTATCAGGTACCAATACGTACTTAAAGTACGTGTAAACAATATATGAAAAGAGGTATCAGTTTGCTTTTATACTCTTCCTCCTATTATGGAGGAAGATACAACGTTTTAAACTTGTTTTATATTTTCTGAGAGCTTAATTATATTGGCAGAAATGATAAAAAAAATTTTTTGAAATGGTCATGAAGTAAAAATATCCGAAGTATTTGACACATGCTGTTGAATAAACCAATGGGTAAACCCGTTGTTGCAATTTTTATTTCTAAATCTTTCGGATTTTTTTCATTATTGAAGATAAAGAGGAATTTGCATAAGAACATATGCGACCTTGCTCGATAGGCAAGCATAGGTAGGCATAGGTATAGCAAACGTTTTATTGTCTGAAGTCTTGAATAACGCAGATGCGAGTAGGTAGTTACCAGATTCACCACCAGGTGGCTCGTTCGGGTCAGATAGCATGGCGGGTATAGTAGAAAGTTCACTTTAACTTAAATTACATCTATTTGCGTGGTTCAATTTTCAAATAACCCTCATGTACCTAATAGTTATGCAAATTGAAATATGTCTAGTAAAAGAAAATGTTATCTGTCCAAAACAAGAGAAGATAATTCACCTTTTGTGATTTTGTAACATGGGGTCTATGGGGAGTCAACCCGAACAAGAAGTCACATTAAAAAAAAAAATTAAATTTTCAAAGTTGATAGACAATTTTCGAAACCATATTTCTAGATGTACTTTTACATGCAGATTTCAAATATGAGATCACTTTGACTAAATTTTGAATATTTAATGACGCAAATCAAGATTATTTCTACTCGCATCTACTCTATTGAGAAATGGGAATCAACTTTGTACGATGGCCTATTGAAGTAACATTAATCTGTTAGCTATAGTTTCATTTTCACTTACCCTCGAATAGACTTGATGAAATGACTTGTTTTTGAAATGGAATAAATAGTGTTTTGAATAAGAAAGTTAAGAACATGTAAGTTAATATCACATTCAGAGCGAAAATGTAAACATTCAGAGAAGCCATTCAGAAACTGAATGGAAAGGACCAGGTATAGTACGGTAAATGATTTTAGACGGTCATAATTTTCACCATGAGTATTTTCTCATTTCAAAATACAATGTTTTATCTTACAAGTAAAGTTGTAAATTTCAATGTTTGCAGATTGATCAAATTGACCCCCTTCCTCGATTTTTTCAATCGTACATTTTTGAAACATTTTGCTGTGCCTCCATTTTTTAACTTGAGCTACAGATAAATGACACTTTTTGGTGTACAAATTAAGGTGATTGGGGGTAGAGGGGCAAAGTTATGATAGTCGGAATTGTTGATGGCAAAAAACGAAATTCATAAAATATTGATAGCTATCGTGTTTCTAATAACTAGAAAATACAAAGCCACCATGATTGCTTTTTTGAACATAATTTAGTTTATTGAATTCTCTTTCCAATATGCTTTGTTTCATGATATTAAAATTGGCTAACAGACAACCATTTTCAAAATTGACAGCCAAGGGAGTTGCTACGCCTTGGCTTTGCTGTTAGTTAATTCATAGCCAACATCACACCCAACAGATTGTGTTATGTTATACATGTTCAAATTTATCTTTTTACATATCATCTCGAAACTTATAAGACATATGAAACTGATTTTGAACAACATGACTAACGTATGACATGATATTATGTCATGTTAAAGATAAGGCTATCAAGTTATCAGTTAAGGAATCAGTTTCGTTTTGTTTCAGTCATGCGCTCTTGATCAGTAGTGCTGAATACTAATTCAAATAATCTACCTATTCAGAATAGGATATGTTTTAATAGGCAACGGTTTAATCTGACAGCAGTTCAGTGATGAACCTGTTTAAGTGTTTTTCGACATGGGTCGCTATAGTAATGGTGTTCTTTTTTATTCCGTCCATGGCCTTGAATCAAGATGTGGTTTGTTACGGAATTGGGAAGACATATCTTTATCGATATTCATCTGATATTTCCGTCCAAGAAATGGAACCAATATCGACGCGCGCTGTGGTATGTTATGAGCATTTAATATGTTGTTAAACTCATTAAATAACCTATGTATTTACCAAAAGTTCTCAAAAATGAAAAAAAGTAATTGCAAGTTATCTTTCAAGATCAACAGTTTCAAAATTAAAGTGACAAAAGACACGGACCTTTAGAGAGGCAGTGTGTTTGTTCGCTCATCACTTAACAATATATAGAATAGACAAAAAATATCCTATTTATTGTTAAAGTATTTGTTCTTCATCTTAATGTGAAATGCGTGTAAATTACATTTAACTTCGAGATCTAGACTCCTCTATGTAGCAAACTTGTCATATTGTTTCCATTATTTAATCGTTATTTTGTATTTGCAGGTCAGGTTACACCCATACGCATATGAACAAAACAGGACTAAGATATTTCTAGGTGTCCACCAGGTGTCCATCCGACATACCGGTCAACATCAATATGGTATCTTTATATTGTTTAAATGTAGATATGTTTTGCATTACAAGTAATGTCTATTGTTTGGGTATCCAAATTATATTTGTTAGATAAACGTATACTAAAAATGACAATTTGAAGTATCCACTCTAAACTTATTGTATCAGAGATAACATTCATACATGTCATGTAATTGATTTCACAGGTACATGTACAGGCACAGGTATGCTCTAACATATGTCATTGTAAAATACATTGATTTGGTGGATCTTGGACACATACTATAGTCAGTTGATCAGTTGATAGCGCATTGTTTAATGCAATTTGCAATTAAAAAATATCGATCGTTTTAATATAACATATTTTAAGTTTCCCTTTGAACAAATTGTTGTTATTTTAATTTTCAAATATTTCAATTTCCTGTCATGTTGCAACAAGAATTTAGATCATCAACCCTGTAGAATACTAAACAAATACAATACTATAGAGGTGAATGTCTGTTCTTCTTCAATGATTCAAGCAAGGTGTGTACCCCGAAGTCCAAGTGCCAGAGGAATACACCTTGCATAATCATTGAAAGCGCAACAGGTATTCACCGAAAATAGAATGAAATATTTGTTTTATTACTTAATGTTATATCCACCACTATCTTATTGGGAATGTCTAAAAAGAACAAGATTGATTAGAACTTATCAATATACCTTCTTTTAAACGATATGTAAAAATTAAACACACTATCATGTAAACATAAAATACAACAAATAGGGTAAATCTGTAAATGGCTTCACTTTCTGAACTGACTAGAGAAAGTGTAAATATGGGAAAACATTATTTTAGAATTAAAGACCACAAAGAGTCAGTATACCCAAGTGTCATCTGCCTCATTACTTCAAATTTATCCTTCACCCATTTATATTGTAAAGGTTTTAGATTTACACTGGACGAAACACGGCCATTGAATACGTCTACACCTTTTTATTGACATCGCAAACTTGGCCGGTGAATAAGTCTTCTTAATTTTTGTCAAATGTATGGTATAGACCAATAAGAGAGTTGGGAATATGAAAGTGGTATGGTAATCTTTTTTACGCTAAATTGGAAAGTTCAAGCAGTTACATTATTTCAACCATACCATTTGATGTATAAATCATGTTTAGTATTTTCGTTGTCCAGACGTTGTACTAAATGTACGATTACAAAAAATGTTATGTATATGATATTGTCTCATTCAAAGGGCGAATCTTTTCCTATATTTTGTTTTTAAAATCTATTTCCCTGGTTACAGAATGAGGATATACACAACAGCGAATAATAAAACTTTTTTGTTCTATATTTTTGGGTTCTGAGCATAACTCGTGAAGAGGGCACACAACAAACAGGTATTCTTCTCAATTTAATGAAATATTTGAATTAATTAATATCTATTTACAGCACAGAAAAACGTAGCAGGACACATGGACTTTGCAAATTGGTGAGTAAACCAATTGTTCAAATTGCTTGAAATTGTATAAATGAGCTGTTGTGTTACAACAAATATATTACGCTTATTTTCTGCTCTCATTATTTCAATCACCTTAAAAAGCCAGATACGTTAACATTTTGTTATTGTTTCTTGATATTCTAGGTTCCACTTCAGAGTGAATGGTTATGGTGAAGTTGACAAAGTCTGGCATCCTCATAACGAGACTTTAGAGGTTGTCAATATCAAAAAAGCAATAATAAGCCAATTATCTGCCCGGCTACATATGTCCAACATGAATACAAGATCAACTTGGGCATACTACATCAATGAAACTGACACAAGTGGCAAGTATATTTAAATGGTACAAAAATATAGATTTCCTAAAAAATGAGCCTTTATGAAAGGGTCTTTTTGCACACACAACTTCACATCCGACGCCTCGAAAATAATTTTAGGACTTATTTTATTTACAAATTCTTCAGAAAATATTGAAAAGTCGTGAGCAAAGGGAAAGTGACGCTTGAATGACCATGGATTGACAAATTATATCGTTTTTAAAGAAGTAAATAAATGTATTTCCTTCTCGAAAATTCTGAACATAACATGATATACCTGAGTGAAAAAACTTAAAAGTCCATTATTTAGGAGTTTAAAATTCGATTGACCCTATGGACAATTGTGGTATAATTGGAAAGCTATGATACTGATCTATAACATTTGATATTCAGTTTTGAAATAAGGGCCGATAATAAAAGATGTACAATCTGATTTTCGACGCCGTTCCGTGCCAAATTTCGGTGCCGTTTCGGACTGACTAGTCCAGTGGCAAATTTTGGTGTCGAAAGGTTTCGGTGTCGAAACGGTGTCGAAACGGTGCCGGAACAGCGCCGAATTTTTTCGATGCCGAGACGGCGCCGAATTATATTGGCTGTGTAAATGCATTGTTTAGGTGATCACCTCTCCATGTACAGTGTTACCGACACTGGTGACAAGTTAGTATTTGATAAATACAAGCCAAATGGACACACTACAGTTCCAAACAGTGAAGGGTTTCATGAAAAGGTACGTAAAATTCTTTCAAAATCATGTAGTTTTTCACTTTCTTAGCCCTGAAAGTCATTAGATTGTGAACCCCCTTGGCAAAAGCTGGCTACAGCTAATACAATACGTATTTTGTTCATGTTGACATTATAGATATAATTTGCTTATCAGTCCTTGATATAGATCATATTTCCGTAGATTGAAATTCATATGCTATGTCATACCTCTTTAAACAACAGCATCATTAGAAAAGAACCGAGCAATTATTTGAATGAATGTAACCTCGATGTTTAGTTTTCTCTTTTCTATATTGCAACGAATCACTTGCATGTAACATATTATATAATTGATTATCCCATCCCAGGCATTTTTCTAATATAGAATTGGATTTTCTTATTTTGAGATGATATCCCAAACATAAACCAATTTTCGGGACAAAATTCTTAAAGTGGGATTTTTTATTTTGAAATGATATTCAATTCATAAACCAATTATTGGGACGGAATTTCTTTCATTATATAGTATTTCCCGGTGTTGCATGCATAACGTACCAAGATTAATATGTATGTATGTATATTCATATTTTTTTTGTCTCGCATGTAAAATACACTCAGCCGTCGCCGACTTATGGGAGACACGTCGATTTAAATGTACATGGATGTAGTAACATGTTCATATATCATATCTCAGTTGCTTTTCAGAGGGTCGAATATCGAAAGGCCAAAAGAGTACCCGAATTTGTTGAATCTGTGGTGAACTTCACAGCTCCAAATAAACCTGTGCCAGGGTGAGTAAAATATTATTCCGTCCTCCTTAGATAAATGGTTGGCTAAGAAAGGAGATATATTTTCCGTCCACTATTTTAAATAACTAATCTTATTGTCATGTACATTATATTTATACCACATTTATCACAATATACTGAGTGTGACAACAGTTATCTTAAGTCTTACATTGAAATTGTTCTAACTGAAATATTAGATAATATAAGAAATATATATTGGATATTATTTTGTCTAGCAATCAAGCTGATACAAAATTACCTGGTGATCCAAACAAAGACCACGGACCCGGATGGGCAAACGACCTAGGTAGACACATTTCAAAGACAATTTAGATACGGGAATTACTAATCAAAAACAATATTTACCCTGTAGAATATAAGACTGAATACTCTGTCCATCATATATCATGGGGGATATATCATAGTTTTGGATTATTGATTTCTGTATTCCTGAAAGACATTTCGAATGTTTTTTTTGTGTACCGATTTATGTGTGAATGTTTGTGTTTCTGATTTTCATAAGTGTTGCCTACGATGACTGTTATATCACGTGACTATATCAAACTAACCGCAATACTAACGACTGACGACCACACACGTATAGTTGAGCCAGGTGATCTAAAAGAAGACTATTTGGAAGTGAAAAACCATACAACAGTCCATAAAAAACCGTTGAATCAGATATACAACGACCTCATGGGCAATATATCGATGGTAGCTAAAATACCTCGAGCAGGTTTGTTATCCAAATATGTGAGTTCATACTGATAAAAATGTCCTAATTTTGTGATATTGAACAAATATTACACTCTACTGATATGAGGCGAATAACTGCATCTTTCACAAATGATATTCCACGAAGCCCAGAGGGCTAGTGGAATATCATCTTGTGAAAGTGTCACAAGTACTCACCGAAAGTTATATGAACGAAAGAAAGAAATATTTGTTTTATTATATCACTGTCTGTCACTGTCTGTTGATTCAAAACCTTCATTTCATATCGCACTTAGTCCACGGCTTAACTCATAAAATAATATTCAGGAATCGACATATAGGTAGATGTTTAGCTATTGCTGCAAGTAATTATTCGTTCTTCAAACCTGATCCAATTATTTGTAGATTCAGATTTATAATTCAAATCCTTCACGATACGTTGACAAAAATGTGTCTTTAGATTCTGCAGAGCGACTAAATTATCTCCAAACAGCGGCAAAGCTTATGAGGCTTTTGTCAGATTCCGATATTACTGTTCTCGCAAAGAAACAATTAGACAACAATCCTAAGTCAAAGTTTGACCATGCACTGCAACATGTTACAATGGACGTGATTGGAATGATGAGAACCAACCATTCAATGGAACTCATAGTCGAATATGTCCTCAAAAACGTAAAGTCCAGTGCAAAACTTGTAGCAGAAGGGATGGTGAATTTCGTGAAGCTGGAATTCCCCCCACCAGAAGTAAGTTTAACCAATCAAAGGATGGTAAAGGTTCGCGAGGTAATAATACTATACAAGAAATATCGAACAGAATACATGGGTTTCCAATTTAGTTAGCGTACTGTGTGGCAGTCGATGGAAGGAATTATTTTTATAGGATGTTTCCATCTTGGATTTCCAAGGTATGAAGTATGAAAATCAATGTTTGATACTGTCGAATATCATATTTTTATTACTAAAAGCTGCTTATGCTATATTTCAGGCAGCTGTGGATGTTATAGAATCATTAGCCTTTACTAATAAGTCACGTTTCGAAGGTAATATATATACGTTTACATGAAATTGATATGTACAGAAAATAAAGTACATATTTTTGAGTGTTTCATTTCAATATCATGACAACTTGAATTTGATTTTAAACTAAGGCTTGCCATAAAGTATATAAATATCCAGATGCATTTTTAAAAGACTTATTGCAATTGATTACGTTTATCTTCAATTGTAGACGATGAAGATGCATACTTAGTAAAAAACCGAGCAACTCTGATACTTGGTTCGATTGCAAAAGTACTTCGAAGACATAATGTCTACCGAGGAAAGCAAATCCTTGACCGCTTGCACTCTCATCTTGGATATCACGGTTTGTTCAATGCTCTTATTCTTTTGCTTGGCATATGGACAACTTTCTGATATTGATGATGTATTTTATTTTCATTCACTTGTGCTGTTACGACAAACAATAAAAATTAGATGTCTCATGGTCGTACGTTTTTGGATTGTGATCATGGCTACGGAATGGTAGTTGTAGACAGTGTTACACATTATTCTTGTATATGTAAGATCGATATGTGAGATCCTCCTGATCCCGTTCTTTCTATGTGTCGGTGTTGTTTGGTCACTTTTCCGTTAAGTTTTTCTTGAGACTCGAGACTTTTTTATAGACGAGATGTCACATCGAGTAGTTCGATCAACCATGACTGAGAGAGAACTAGACTCACATTTGCACCACAAAGCAGGTTTCATACATGCCCTCGGCAATGCAGCAGATGTAGCATCGCTCCCATATGTGCTGTCGTACATATCCCATAGTGAAACCCCATCATTATTGAAGCGCAGCGCAGTTCGAGCTTTGCGAGACTATCATACAGAAGAGGTTTGTTTGTATCTTGTCGTGAGTTTTATCACTTATCAGTGAAGTATCAAATTTTCAAGTTGATTAATTGATATACAAGGTAAACATTTTCAAATCTAAGTTATGTCATTTAATATAATGATCCTTTATTAGGCAGCCAATCACATTCTGTCAGTTGCTCTTTCTGACCCAGAGTCGCATGTACGTCATGCAGCATGTATACAATACTGGATGCATTCCCATGCAGTTGATGTGCAGGAAATACGGAATATAGTCAATCTTGGGTAAGACAATCTAAACTAGGAGTATTTTCATCATCGTTTAAGTCATAACAATGACTGTTATGTCTTCCATGTAATTGAATATGGTTTTTATATTTTATATTTGATTTGCAGAAAAACAAAGGGGAGCAGATTGTTACTAATCATATGTTTCCTGTTATTCAGATATCGTAATACAAGTCTACATAAACAAGCCGAAAAAATACTTCATCGTAAAAAACGAGATACTGGCTTATTTAAATTAATTGACATCACTATCAAACTACCTGGCATGGATTGGAGAAAGCAAATCGGAACAGACAATGTTGGTGCAAAATTCGGTTTAATCATCAAAAACATAATAGACTTACAAGTAGGTAAGTAAGTTTAAGATTGTCTAGATATTGTATTCTAGATGTTATGAAGATTTTAAGATAACATTTAGAAATTTTTGTCGGTTTTTGATTGTGATATGACTATATTGACTAGCGAAGGCAATTACAGTCATTATCAGAATTATACGGGAAAATGTTTAAGTGACTCGAATAAGCTCAAAAGTGTTCAAATTGTTTTTAATATAAATAATAACAACCAGTTTTGCATTTCAGAACTTTTGCGTGGACATTTTCTCGTTGACATCCATGATGAGATCTATGCCCAGGGAGTTTTCAAATTTCTTGGATACGACATGCAGTTCATCAAGGCGAGGGTGTGTTTTCACGGAGAGGTGAAGTATGGATTAAATATATTCCAGGTAGGATATAATTTGACAAAGTTAACACTATGTGACCCTGAATAAAGGTCGTGGCGAAACTAGGAGCTATTTTGACTGGCAATGGCAATCTTAATCTAGAATTACCACTTCCTCAATTTAGAATAGTAATATAAAGGTTAAAGGATGCCTGTGGTTTGGGGAGAACCTTTTAAAATCACTGATGTTTTACACAAGAAATGTTTCGTCAATACACCACCTGTCGTATTCTGAATTTTGTGTATAGATCTGGTCACTTAAGAGGGTGGTTTCCTAAAGCCGATGGACGAGTGCGCATCATTCTCGCGCATCTAACTTTCGGTTTCGGTTTCGATGCCGTGATTTTGTTATTTTACTGTATATTACTCAAATAAATAAAACTTATGTTCAAAATGAATGAAAATGGCTTTATAATATTTATTTGTGGTGAGAGAATTAGTTGCACGGAAAAATAAGACACTCTATTGTCGTAATTTTGGAACGTCTCGGAAACTCCTCACCAATTATCGCCCACCTAGAAACAAGATGCTGCATTGATGACTGGACGATTTCAGTCCCAATCGGGCAAACAGTGGAGAATCGTAGCATTAAACATCATAAAAACTGTTTATGAAGGTAAGAAGTATCGAATGCAATATCATTTTCTTTTTGTAATCGATTAAAATCACCATATTTAAAGGTAGAAATCGCTTCCTGGTTCTCGATCGGGAATCGTTGTCATTTGCAGTTTGCGTAATATTGATTTGATTGGAAAAATCTCTTAAATTCCCTTGAAATTTAGTATTTAATGTAATAATTTGGTATGTTAATAGTAGATGGTAGTGTTATATATAAATACAATGGATTATTCTGTGATCGTATGCATATAATCACTGAAATTCTTCTCAAAATTACATATGAATTTATTTTGGATGATCGATTCGTCATGACCTTGATCTTACAAAGCCCATGTTCAAACTCAACAGCTTTTCATGTCCCAGATACCTCCCATGCGGGCAGAGTCGGGACATTTTAAACGAAATGTTAACTATATTTGACTGCCTATCACAGTAAAAGTACATTTTGATGTGGGCAAAAAGATAATTTTGTAATGGAAAATTACATGTACATGTTTCGTGTACATGTATTAAAAGTGTCCTGTGCGGGAGTACACGGCAATCACATGCAGTTATCATAATCAATAAATATTTGGGCACAGATAGTCCAACACTATTACACCTAGCCTGGGGCCTGATTTCTTATCTGGCATGTCTTATGGCCCCGGCGTTGAACTAGGGTATGGATAAACATGCTACATGTACTGTACATGTGCTGTACTGCAGTATAGTAGAAACTGTACATTTATATGTTTACTGTATCGGTATTAGATATTATAGAACATCATATGACGTCTCAAGTTTCATTTTATTCTTGATATACTTTCAAACTTTTCCATGTATTTCAGATGACAAGTTACCCAAAACAACAAACAACGGTTTTATGGACCACTAACAGTCGCATCAAAATGATTGGGAGGTTGAGGAAGTTATTATGATTAATGATAAATGATCATGCAATGCAGTTAGATCATTTAGATGACTGTCACGTCATTGTCGACACAGGCCATACATACTTGTCCAGTCAAATGACCTGGAAGTTTTTGAGTACAGGTAATTGTATAAATTACATGTAATATATTGTTCAAGTCATATATAGATAGATGTTATATCACCTTTGCCTGTGTAGGCAATGACTAGAGAATACAATAAATGAATAGACATTAAGGCAATCATTATATGATAATCATGACACTTTTTGACAGGTGTAACTCAATTCCCATCCGATTGAGCCAAGATCACAATATGCCTCAAAATATCATGTTTCTGGCTAAACAGAAAGATGCAATGAGTATCAAAATGGCATGGATACTTTGATGTATGGTATCAAGTGGTCTTTCCAGCAAGTACTAAATAACTTTAAGTCTAGTTGTTTTTGTAATAAATAGATAATATACAAGGTGGGCCAAAAAATCCATTGTAACTTTTAGTCATGTATTATCTTCAATACTTTAGGAAATTGAAAAACAATTCATTGTCAATATTGTGTAAATATAATTATTGAATATACAAGCTCAAGCTTTAATTACTCACCTCAAGGATTTCCTGAACACATCCTCTCTTACCACCTGAACAATCAGTCTGAGACATATTATGCCAGTTTTGAAAAAAAGCTGAGGGCAGTAAGCTATATTATCCAAGGGAGAGATGTTTAACTTCTAGAGATAAAAACATATGTTTTAATTGATGAAAAGTGTGGTGAGACCATTTGCAGGGCACATATTGTATGTTAAAAAGATATTTCAGAAGTGATGGCTCAAGCTGAGAAAATTTGAAATTCGTCATGACACATGTACTAGAATACAGATCATGATCAATTGACAAGCCAAAAATAAATACATACACATTTTTATATTTAACATGTTCACCAGTAATCATTTTACATGTTATATGAATTTTTGTTGATTGAGCTGCAATAATAAAGAAAATTGAAGAAATGGAAAAATTTTCTAATTGTTATTGGCCCACCCTGTAGATATGTAAATTTACAACATATTAATTTATGTTCTGCAGGCCTTGTCTCCAAAGATGTCTGGGGTGCCCAGAAAGTTGGCTTCAGTGGATGTATGTTACACCTGACTAACAGTAATTTGACATTATACAAAATTAGCTAGAGGTACAGAATATAAGAGGTAAGAGAACAAGTAATATACAGTAAAATCTGTCCAATCTGAACATGAATGGTTAGAAAGCATTCGGATGGGGAGATGTATTGATTTCGGTTTCTCTATCCGCAAGATTGTGGATTTTAATGCATTCTCAATGAATATTAATATTTCTATTGACCATTTGGCTTCATGGCATCCAAAATCTGAGGCCATTTCATATTTTTCAGAATTTCATATCAAATCAGTCTTAAACAGTTTTGTAAAAATTGTGGAAAGTGTTCAATTTACACATGTTAAATTTTCAAATATGAGTGTCCACTGTTCAAATTAGGATGTTGTCAGATTTCAAGGTTTTTAACATGGGAGTCAAGTCAATGGGAGGAAAAATGGAGTCAGAAATTGTGTTAGCATTTGAAGGTGTTTGGATCAGCCAGGTGTTCAGATATACAGGTTTTGCTGTATGGGATTAACTCATCATTTTTATTATCAAAATAAGATTATAAGTAAAATGGTTGCATCTAATTGAGTAATGATAATTTTCTTACCTTATTCAAAAAGAAAACTACACATAGGCCTTCATAATTTGGTCCTGATTACAATTTTAACACCATGATTGGAATTCCAATACTATGTAATAACTATAAATTTGGATAATGTTATGCTTGAATGAAGTAACTGCATTCATATTTCTTTTATATCATAGTGATACATGCAATTTGTTACTTTTGTGTGATATTCACTTTCAGGTATGGTCTTGGGGTCTTCTTGTATGACTCAGCCCTCTTAGAGTGTACGTAAGCACATGCTACAGAAGACAGGACATGACCAGCTAGGCAATAATGAGTTTGACAAACGCGTCCATGGCAGAAGTGGAACTTACTGAGCACATTGACTTTATTTAATTTTCTCTGTCTATCTTTGGATTTATGGTATTTATGGCATTCATAATATAGACAATGGACACAGAACAAAAAGAACAACATCTGTTTTAATGACAATATCTCTCAACAGCTCAAGAGAATATGTTCCCTGTAAACACCATTCCTAAACACATGTAGCTATGTACAGGGTATCCATAAATCCATATTTACAAATACTTAATTATGAACTACAGAACACTTTATTCTTTTCCGGGATTTTGAAAAAGTGGTATGTAGTTATTCTGATAAAAATAAATCTATATTTTATGCATATTTTGTCATGTACATGATTTTATTATACATGTCATGCCTCTAGCCTGCTTTTGCTAAAAAATCAAAAAATTCCAGGGGGTTCACATTTGACCATTTTGGCCCAAAAATGACAAAAATCACTTGAAAAATGCTCAGAATGGTGAACATTTTTGGCCAGGGGATTCACTCAAACCCAACGAACCACTGGCTATGGGCCTGCATGTACACAATGTAAATAGACATAACTATTGGTTGTCATAGCAACAGATTATTGGGACAATGCCTAGGCTCCACATCAATAACAATATTCATTTGTTTTTAATAATAGTATTACAATGATGAAACTTTCCAAAAGAATAATATTGATACTAAATTATCATGGAACTATAGCCAATTCGGGCAATTTAGACAATAAGGGACTGGACGTATTGGTTGGAAAGGGTATATTGACTATATGCATTAATTTTGCTGTATTTTTACTTTAAAATAAACTTTATATTTTTCTGTGTCATTTTTGAAGAAATGAATGAAAATATTAACATAATAAAGTATTAGTAGGAAAGAACTTTAAATTGCTGCTCATTATGGTGATTTTCTCATTGAAATACAAAATATACTCGTCTATTTAAAAATACACAAACTAATTCAGTTATGACGTCACAATCAATATGCAAATGAGCTAATTTGCATAAATGTAATTTTGAAAAATTGAGCTCTATTTTATCTTTAATATGATATAAATTTTATCAAAATCGAAGAAATATTGGGGGAGTTATGTGTAAAAAACACTTTATTGTCATTATTTTTGTGGTTACTATGGAAACGAGCATGTGGGCACTTAAGGTCCACATTTCATAATTTTTAACAAGTGAATCTCAAAGTTAGCACTATGAGCTTTCCAACGGTACCAAATTTATCCATAGCCCTATGTCATAAGTGTACATTTATAAGTGCTTTCCTAGCACTTTTGGGCCATCATTTAGACTACCTACAATAGAAAGGGCAATTAACGGACATGTTAAGAGTGATTTTAGTGTTTTGGGGGTATGGTTTTGATTTGGCTGTAGAAAAAAAATTAGCTCGGTGACCCCATATTTTTTTCGGGTCATTATTTTCACAATTGAACGAAGTTTAAATTAATGAAATATAAAAAAAAGTTATTGTTGGGAAATTACTATTATTTAATGTTATTATAGGGGAGAAAATACATTATTTTCCCCATTGAAATACAATGAAAAGGTCAATTTAGGGGATATCTAAGAGTGATTTTTAGTGTTTTGGGTATGATTTTGTTTTGGCTGTAAAAAAAATTCGAGCACGGTGACCCTAATTTTTTTTGGTCTCATTTTTCTCAGAATTGAACAAAGTTTCACATATGAAAAAATAAAAAAAGTTATTGTTGGCATCATTTACGCAACCACCCTCTTAAATCTATATAGTCAAGAAATACATTAAAACGACATGTATCATGATATAATGTGTACTTCTAAATTTTTAGAGCATTTTAGGTGATTTTCGCATATACAATTACCTATTAGTATTATTCAGGGGTTCCAAAAGTAACAGGACTGGTGCTGGCATTCTGTCAATTCTGCACCGATTGTCTTCAAATTTTCACAAATTGTACTTTGAAGTATTGCAACTAAAATTATAAAGTTTCAGAAAAAATGATAAAATGTGGGTAGAGTTATGGTTACTATAGTAACATGACATCACAATACCCGGGGCAACTTTTTCATGAAAATGTGATATCTAACATTGCTGTATTACTAAAGAAAGTATCTAGTTCACCTATTACAGTACAACATTTTTTGTTTGTTTTATTAGTTGCTTTGTTGTTATGTTGTTGCTTCACAACTAATATTCAAATATGATTTCATTATAATAATATTTATTTAATTTCCTGGAATATCACTGGGTATAACAGTCTGCACAATTCAGGATTGAGTTTTCGAGAAGACCCAATTTGAAGCCAGTCATCCACCTTAATAACCCGTCTGCCTGCAAGTCAGCATTAAGACCACTGCAGCTATAGAGGAGCCAGGTCTTGAGGTCTAAGGCCACGCACCACACTCTTCTGATCATGCAATATCTAATTTTTTATTATTTTTTATGGAGAATGGTATGCTAATCAGTGGGGCAAGACCTTTGAAGATGAGAATTACCTTCTCCAAGTTGTCCAATCGACCCTGCGATGTCCTCAAATGAGTTCATTCATGTGTTTGAGTTATGTATGTACAGAGTGCTACTCTTGTACTGGCCAATTGCAAAGAGGAGCCTACTTTTCAAAGTAGAGGATACATAGGAATATCAAATGATGTAAAGCAATAAGTGATTTCCACCAATTGTTGCATTTCAACTTTGACATGGGATGTACAAATTGTTTAAAGTCTGTGAAACTTTCTGCCTGGAATGTTGCCCCGGGTATTGTGATGTCATGTTACCATAACAACCATAACTCTACCCAAGTTTTATAATTTTTGTCGAAACTTTGCAGTTTTAGTGACAATACATGAAAGTACATTATGTAAAATTTTGAAGACAATTGGTCTATGTTTAACAAAAAACAGCACCAGTCCTGTTACTTTTGGAACACCCAAAAAAAAACTTCGACGAGCACTTTCTCAGCAATTAATGACTCAAAATTAAAATATTGCTATAAAGTGGCCTTCGGAAATCGTTAGTAAGTTATACGAACATACATATTATTTGAGAATGAACTAATCCCAAAATATACAGTATGTCAAATGCATGTAGAACATGCATTATTAAGAATAGTATAATTATGTCTTGGAAAGAAATATCTATCGCAAAAAAATTATTCAAAAGCATTTCTGCTTAGAAAAGCAGCTTCGTCCAGACTGAAATATGTGGCAATTCCATAGATATAGGATTTGAGACATGTCTTTTTGGATTTGTCAATTCTCACATAATGTTTAACTGATCTCTACCATATTTGTGCAACTTGCTTATAATACCCTTACAATACTTTATGGAAATTTTCAATAAATTTGAGTTAGAAATTATTGAGACAAATACTTGTCAAAAACACAATATATATGTATCCATTCAAAAAATATATTCTAATCGGTTGACTCGAAAATACAATATGCAAAGTGACATCTTACTTTTAAATAAAATTTGTTTTCAGGAATTTGGGTTTGATGATCCTCAAAAACTTGTTAAGCTGTACGATGTGGTCGCAAATAAGGTTATTGGTAATATAGAAGAAGCTATAAAGAGATTTCATGAGATAATGGATCGATTCAAGAAGAACAGTTTATCGGATATTTTTGATGACATAATTGACTCAATCAAAGATGTTCCTAAGACACTAGACCTCACCAAGCTCACCGAAAATTTACTTAAAGAGTTTGCAAAGTACCATGGACTGCCTGATTCTGTAATGCAGATCAAGAAAGTTATACAAAGGGCAAATAAAGTAACCAGTGACATCAAAAGAGATGTTCTAGAATTTTATAACGTAAGTAATGGTCAACAATCTATGTTATGTCACATTTGAGTAACGCATAATAAATTTAAAGTTAACTTTTTCACAAAAAGGTTAATGTTCGATGTGTACTTTTGAAACATATAATATATTATTTTCAGTCCATATCTGATGCTATTGAAGTTTCACTACCATGGGCTGCGAAACAAATAGAACTTGCTCTAGGCAATGCTGCTGGAAGTGTTAAAGACCTGCTGAGGTCCCCCAAGACAGCAATTGTTTCTGTTCAGAAAGCAGTTATCCAGTGAGGACTCATTCAATAGCATTGATAAGATTATTTTGTAAACTCATTGAATCTGTCATATCTCTTTGCACTTACTGATTTATTTCTATAATATCGTGAATTATATAAACTTAGACAGATTTCTGAACTAGTTTTGACTGATGAGACGAAAGAGCATGCCATGGCGAAAAACTGATTTCATAAATCTCAAAAGTATTGATGCTCCAGTTCAAATATGTCACAATAACTAAATATGTATTATGGATCACATTTTAGTCATGTAATTGCAACATTAATCGATAATATATCATCAAAGTTCGTTGCATTCCCGCCTAAAAATGCCAATTATCTGCGTCTCGGATTAGGTAAAATGCGTGTGGCTTATGACAGCTATTAAAAATATCAGCAGAAAAAGAGCTCCTCCGTATTGCTGAAATTATTGATAAATGTAGTTATATTGAATATTTTCAGGATTGAGATGGCTCTTAAAACAATATATGATGCAAAACATCGGGTCGAGGAAGCATGCTTCTTCCAAAAAGGTACAAACAGTGAAGAATACATTTTACATATTACATGAATACAAGAATATTTTAATTCCAATTGCTAACCTTTACATGGAAAAAAGTATTACAATGCACATTGCCATGATAGCTATGTGTAAAAACGCAACTACAAATAAATCGTTTACTCTCATACGATGATGAGGATTTCATGCCTACAATAAAGCCACGTTTCCCCTCTTTCCAATAGTACGTCATTTTCTCATGTGGACATGGTAGGCTGATTAATCATTACCTTTGCATATCGAGCCAAAATAGAATAGGGACCAAGTTTTAGATATTGTAAAAAACAATGAACGATGCCAGGTGCCATTGGAAGAAAATAAGGTGTCGCAGGTTTGGAGTAAACAGTTGAATGTTAAGACTTGAAGTAATGAAATATATAAGATCTCATGTCCTTCTATATGGACACCATTTATTTGTACACACAGAAGGGCATGTCTCTCTTTGAGTCTTCTGTTGGTGATTCTTGCTCTAAGTGTTGCAATTTTTAGTGAGTTTAAAAATGTTGCTGCGACTAAGAGAGTGACAAAGAAAATGTCACAACAAGTCAGTTCAAGCGATCTTCAAAAAGCACCAGACTCAAACTTGTTCGACTATGGCAAATTATGCAAAATGACACGAATGGTCATTCAGTCAACCATTATCACATGTAAATAAATGATATATCATTGGAAAGAGGAGAAATGCGGCTCCGTGGTACAACGAATAAAATCTGTGCAGTTATCAGTGGCTTTGTGATTAAATGAAAATGTGTGTTGCGTTTTTATTGTGCATTGTACATTTACAGTACCTTGTACATCTTGATATACATCAATTTTGTTCTTTTAATTCATTGCTTCACAGATGAAAAGCCATACTGGCTAGATTTGCGGAAGGTGGTATCGGAATTAAAAGAGGATTTCAAAGCTTTCCGAAAGATGTTTCGATTCGAGACCATTAATGACTGGGCTAATAACTCTCAATTTGAAGATGACGATTTCCATGCGTTCTTTGGTCTCGACGCTGTAAGTATATTAGCGATTAGGGGTATAATCAGGGTTTGACAATATACAGGCTAGGGAAATTTTACAGGCGGGGAAATCTACATATACTCGTAAAAGAGGATTAATGCCACTATCATTTCAACAGTTTTGATAAAAAAAAGTGGTTTGCATAGTTAAATGTTGGAAAGGGATTTGCAGAATTTTCCTCGCTTGCTTTATGCCTGCCTACGCCCATCAGCTGTGGCAGGTTCACTGCTTACTGCTATCATTATGTATGTTTTGCTGCCAAAATATGTAATTATTATACATTGTACTGCTACTGTTCTTTAGTTTTATATCCGATTTTTTGTTTCACGGATTTTTTGTAACACGAAAATAAATGAAATGACTACACATACATTTTAGAAACTTTCGCGGAGACAAATACTTGTTGAACTTGGAGACAGTCTAGAAAATATGGGTCTAAGTCTTGGACCATTGGGAACGATTTTGCAGCCTTTCATCGAGACTTTCCAGGATGTGATGGCATCCATACAAGCTATGACAGAGGCTTTAAGAGGGCTGAAGGAAGGGTAGATATGAATAACACAGTAAAATGGCAGCACTTCATGAATAGTGTTCTGTCGTCATAAATACACATAACTAATCTGACTAATCTGCGTTATTACCACCTCGCCGGGCCAGTTCTAGGGGTTTTAGTGCTAGTTTAGAAGGCATTCATTTTACTATATCGACCTGAGAAATGTGTGACATCATAGTGGTGGTCCATATGGACCGGTCTAGAATATATTCTGGACCGGCAATTTTCCCCGGGAAATTAGATATCGTTCAATGCGTAAGATTTTCTTGCTGTTTCAGTCCTGGTCGTTAACGGTGGTAATAATACTAATAACGTCATTTCTGCGAGCAATACAGTGAAATATTGGACCTTGGGCCTGTTGATTGAATTCGCTTTCTAATTGTTCAATATCAGTAGAGAAAAACACGACTCCTGGTTCAAAAACTCGCTTATTTCGAAAAGACCACCATTTCTGTCGTGGAGTATCACTTTCCCACCTATAACTCAGGAATTGTTACTTCAGTTTGCATTTGAAAGTATGTTATAATATATATTATCAATGGGGTGATGTAGTTATGATAAAATCATTTTATAATTCAAAAATTTTTCATAAAAATCTCCAAATAATGTTCTTTTATGAAGAACAAATGGGTTCTTTTTGTCCTTTATTACTCGCAAGCATTACATCTAGTTACAAATATTATTTATGCTACAGGTATGAAATATCCAAATCCTTGATAGACAATGTATTTGGGCCTAAGATTGCAAAGAAATTTCCAAGGAAATATTTGGTTTCCGAGGAATGTGGAAATGGGTTCTTTCCTTCAACACAGGCAGGAAAGTATAGGGATGATGGTGCGCAACTTCAAGTAGATGTCAGTTCGACAGTATGTTCTAAACTTTTTAATTTGTATTTATAATGAAAATTTTATAATGATTTTGATCGTCTTTAATTTCATAATCCATTTTTTATCGCCAAGTGTTGACACCAAATATCAAAAAGAATATTACACGTATAAGTAGATTCTTTGTTGATGGTTAGACGAAAACAGCATTAAATACTCAGTACTCATTTACTTAATTTTCTGTATTGAAATACCGTTTACGTATATACAATAAGTTATTGAATGATTTGAAGTGCAATACAGGATATAATCGATCTGCCGAGAAATTCTGTATTAGAAGATAATCATTAGTGAATATTCTATATTCTCCGTTTTGCTACTGAGGTTGTCCGCTCCGTACAAATATTTTATATAGTGATACGGAGATGATCAATGGGGACAATCTCAGTCGCAATTCAGATTGGTACAGCACAAGAACTGACCAATCAGTGGCCTTCATTTTACAGATCATACGATAAATAGAATTATTATGTCCTTATAGCTATATGTTCCTTTTTCTGGGATTCTGCGCATAACTGGAAATAACGAGGTGACCATCCAGGTCGAAGAGATGAAAGACACAGAGCTTATACTAGTCAACGTTAGAGTGGACGAAATAAAAGATAACACAATGGTAAAACTTACTCTTGTACTATTCGTTTTTGTCGAATTCATCCTAAATATGTGAATCCAAAGTATGCAACACAATTACTTCTTTTTAGGTGTGGGTAATGTGTTTTATCAACTAATATGATATAAATGATGTTAAGAGAACGCAAATATTATAAAAGTGAAGTTATTATAATATTTAATTGAACTTAATCTTAACTTTAAATCAACCCATAGATTACTTATCCGAGGCTAATCGCAGCAGAGCCTACGCAGCAATTTCGGTTTGTTTGGCCTGTTTTCACTGGTCCCGACTCCCCATATATTTATAAAGTCTATTCCAAAATGGATGTACTTGAGTCCGAGGAAATTCTTATTTATATCATTTTCAGCAAGAAGGAGGTCGATCCGTATGTATTATTACACCTCTTTATTACCCATTTAGCATATAGTACAAAATATTAAACATTTAAAACAACAGTAAGAATAACAAAAACTAAAACACACATCTAAAACTTAAGACAATAACGAAAACACAAAAGCAAGCAATTCAATTGCTAAAGTGCAAGTAAGAACAATAGAATATATAAGCGCTAGTGCCAAAGGGAAAGGACCAAAAGTTGTAATGGAACTTAGCAAGAAAAACATATCTATTAAAAAATCCCAAAGAGTGATGGAAATTCAGATTTCTAAATAAATATTTGCATCACTCTAAAATGGAGTGGTTAGATCCACAACAGTACACAAGAAAGATAGTAGAATTACCAAGACTTTTGAATTATCTGTAAAACATAAGCTTGGGAGGCCTTTCACTGGACGACTCTATATTTGGCCTAGTGCTATTACGATTCAAGACGTTACTTGGGTCATGTAATGTAGCATCTCATTGCGAGCATCTTCAGTTTTAGTGGCAAACTTTAACAGGGCAGGGACGACCTTTGGGTGTTTCCAAAGTGGACACGGTTCTATATTGAACCTTGTATTTGTCTCAGTCGACTAAAACTAACATCATTAGCAGTTCTGTCTTGCCATTCAAATTTTTGTACGGAATTTATTTCATGTTTTACGATGTTATTCTAAATTCTTAGTGGCGGAAAATAAAACTACCCACTAACTAAGTATTCGCGTAATGAATCTAAGCTGTATTTATTCAATATTCTGTGTTTCTCTGGAATAAACGACCTTTGAGAAGCGGATGTCTGGTTTAAATGTAGTCTGGTAAGAAACACCATTTTCATTAAATGGGTATGCTTCGGATGAATAAGGCGGCCTAAAAAGAGCATTTTTACTCTATATCATTGATTTAATATTGTTTAGACCAAGCATTCCTAAAGTTTAATCAGTTCTAGCTTATTTGGATTGGTCTTGCAACGTTTTATGGATCTGAGACCTTTTTTCAAGCTGGAGGGTTTGTGTTTTTGTCATACCATACCAACGCTCGGCACCATATAACACCAAGAACGTCTCGAATAAATAAAAATTAAATTCCCGGGGCAAATATTTTCGTCCAGTGTAGCGAATAAACTGGCCGGAAGTCGTCTGAGTTTTGAAAGAAAAAATAAATAAAGTGGGGATCATAAAGAATTGCAAAAGCTATGAAAATTACATGCTGTCGCACATGTAATAAATTCTTACCTCAGTGTATTCAGTGCTCTATTTTCTCCGTCTGAGTAAGTCCAAATATACTGGAATTTGTGTCCCTAATGACAAATAAGAACTTCAAAAGTTGAAGTGGATATTCACATGTTATGCAGACTCTTCAAATGTTGAGGTGATTTTGTCGCCCGATTGCGCCGGAACGGAGGATTGGCTCCCAGAATGCAACATGACACGTGCCAGCTTTCAAAATGCTGTTCCGCCATTTTGAAACCTGTCATGAGTAAATACGGTAACTGATGTTGCATTCTGGGAGTCAACCGTCATTGGATAACAAACATGGCGATTCATGAAAACATTCATTCGATTTGGTAGGGATTTATCCATTATTTGCAGGTATGAAGCTTTGGATTCATTTATTGTGCTACTTTAGTGAACGGGAATTATTTTTCTACCGCTTGGGAGAGTTTGAGACACGAAACTTGGAAATTAGCTCATTGTGACAACTAGTGGTCGTTGAGTTTTATTTTTGTCCCCCACTGTAAATGTCAAAATAATGTCAACTAAACGACAGTTTAAGCCTGTAAATGTAAGTACTCCACTTAACTTTGATTGGGAGGTGCATAATAAAACAAATACCGGATGATCAGGAGCTGGATATGGCTCGGCTGCCGCCTCGCCCAATATTTTTCTCGAATAGGTATTCTGCCATATCTAGGCTAGCTCCTGATCATCCAGTATTTGTTTAATATTTGTTCGCATGATTCCTAAAATGTATGAATAAATTTAAACATTTGTGTTAGACAAGTACATTTGTCTTCTTTATCTGTAGGTTTACAAAGATGAACCTCTTGGAACTGTTGTTCAAACATCACATTGTCCAGAAGGTCATATCCACTTTGCTCTCAAAAAGATAGGAAGAGATGATATAATAAACCCAACGCGTTACTTCGAGAAGCGAAAAATGGAGAGACCACGTTGGGTTCAAAAATGCGATGACTACGAATTAGTATGGCTTGTAAGTCAGATTTGCTTTATGATTTGACTGCCATATTTTCGGATCATTTATTCTTCAATGATAAACGCTTTCGTAATTTTATGGAATGTCTACATCTTGAAACAGCAGAAAAATTTTAAATTATGAAGATTGTTATGCATATCTACAGGGTGGTCCAAAAAGTGAACCGCTGCAACATGCTATATTTTTCTTAATACATGCGTGAATTCGCTCATAACACCACATGTTGTAGAGAAAGTTAAACAAGATGTTGATCATTTATTTTTAGTTTTGAAAATTAAGTAATGACAAGACTTAAACTAACATACTTGAAAATTAGATATTGTGCAAAATTTTACCAATGGGATTCACGGAAGTTGTTGAAACACACTGGGTGATCTTAAAAAGCTTTCAGTGAGAGATATAAGTTTAAAACCCTACAATATGATAAATGGGAAACTTTTTGAGCAGGAAACACATTTCACACTTTCATTGACCATTTTGAAGTAGTTTTAACCGGATGTGTTGCGATTTCATTGAAATCATTGATGTGTTGCGATTTCATTGAAAAATATTTTCGTCTAACGTAGACCATATCTTTGGATTACAATGACTTTGCAACTAACAATAGCAGGATGTCAGTTTTTACACCATAATATGCGGGATTCAAAATCAAACGAAGGGCTGCAGAAAATAAACATAGTGAAAGATGAACATATACTCTTCTCAATAGATCATGAAACGTTTGTTAAATATTTCTGAAGGATATCATTAAACACACTTTCAGAAATCCAACTCTGCTTCATTCGTTATTTGTTTGGCGATTGGCTGTAATATGTCATCCTTTGAATTTGGTTTCTTCGAAATGCCCTTTTCAGAACGAAGTGATATCAGAGGGCTCACTTACGAAAGGTCCGAAAGATGTTGATACAACCCCCGATCAGGAAACTGTTCCAGCATCTGATATGCCAGATACCAGTATGTACTACAATATAGATCTGGATTTCACAGATGTGCTTTTTTATTTTCTAATCACGGTTGGAATCGACATTAAAAATTATTTTAAGGGGACTGGAACGGATAAAGCATGTATTTCCTAGACCTTTGGATAGCGGTGTAGATATTGCAAACATCCATCCCACTCTCTTGATACAAAACATATTCCCGCACAGGGGCGGATCTGGAAACCAACAAGGGGGGGGGGGCAAATTTCAGGTGAGAGCAAAAAAGTTCCGCGCTTGCGCGTAAAAAAATTTTGAGCCCCTAAAACCCAAAAGTGGGCCCAAATTTTGAGGCCCATTTTCTTCAAAATTTTGCCTGAAAGTAAAAAATAAGGCCTTAAAAGGCCCAGTAATGACCAAAAAGGCCCACTTTTTGGAGCCTGAAGGCCTTTTTTGGCTCAAAAATTTTTTTGGGCCCAATTTTTTTTTCTGGGCCCACCCAAGGGGGGGGGGGGGCGGGCCCCCAGCCCCCCCCCCCCCCCCCCCCCTAATCCGCCAGTGCCGCATGTTATGTATGTATGGATATATACTCATACTTCCCAATTGTTTGATTTCTTTTTAGTGTTAATGCAAGAGTTTCAACAGAAGAGCGAAGGGTGGCCGAGCAATATTCTTGATACAACTAAAATTGGTAAATCAGCAAAATCCCTCATGGAGAACATGGGTGCACCGAAGATCAGCGAGTTTGGTCCGCATCTGCTCAGTTTCAGTGTTAAAAGCTTAAAATTGGACAAAGTGATGACGTTTCTTCAAAACTCAAATAACATGGTCATGGCAGAGAGGATATATACACTTATTGAAGACATGCAGGTAACGTGGCAGTTGTTGCATTTGTGATGCAATTAATATAATAATATTACTATACAATTTCATTTTCCAGCTTTTCAGAGTTACAAACTTGCCAGCGACTACTTAACTGGCTTCTGATCTGAAACAAAGAACAAAACAGATTGAAGCAATAAACATTCATTATATACGCTGTGTACTTATCAAAGTAGATTAACCTAATGTGAAAAAGGAAGTTTATGTGTAAAATAAAAATGATACAGAAAATCCGCGCTGATACCTTAATGCAATAAGTTACGCAATATTGTGTAACCATTTCACAAACAATAGACCTTTTCAATAAATCCTAACACTATTTTAATATAGAATGGTATATCAAAGTAGCTAGGGTATAATGATTAGATTGATGATGCCATTTGTTGTACGTAGCTAATTACTTATTGCTAATTTGAAAAAGTACAACCAATGACATCATCAAAGCAGGGCTTATTTGAAAGGTCTATTAACTTTTTATGGCAGTGATTCATCTTGTACACTCTCTTCTTATCCCTTTTAGATAATATGGTGTTAATACTGTATCAAAATACAACATCTTATATTCACGTGATATATCTAACACATAGAAGCGTTTTACAGAATACATACACATACATTTGATTTCACACACGGTTCGTTCAAGTTTGCACACACCGTTTGTGTAAAAACACTCTTGTAGGTGTTTACACACAGTTTTTACATCGACTAGAGATACACAAGTCGAACAAATGTTTAGTTACTCAGGTGAACATTTTTGCTTTCACAAATCATGATGTAAAAATCACACACCATGGTGTTGCATGAATTAGTTTCTAGTTGTTCGAGATTTTATTCGAAATCTTGGTGACTTTTGAACAGTTCTACGGAGGGTGCCATATTGTAGAAACCAGTATGTAAATGTCACGTGACTTCAAATCTCGCACTATGTGAGGTACACGTTATTTGTGACATCATATTCGAGCGGGAACTGTACCATGCGAGTTTGAACGCAAGCGTGTGTAAAATTGACATGTTAGTACGAAATTTACTTCGATTTGTGTGCAATTCGTTCAGTATTCTATGACATATAACACAATTTGTGTGACATTTCAACATTATCAGTTATCACATGTTTCAGCATGTGATACTATCAGTTATCACACGTTTCAGCATGTGATACAGGAAATATTCCACGAAAGGTAATACTGTATCATCCACGAAAGCGAAGCTTGAGTGGTGATACATTGTTACCCGAGTGGAATATTTCCTGTATCACATAAGCTGAAACGTGTGATGACGATTTTATCACATGTCTAGGAATTTTGAAGCATTTTGATTTGGTCAGTTATGATTGTGTTCAGTACTTCTGGTAACTATTATAATTTTTGATTTCGCTTTGAAACAATATGACGTCATACCGTTGTATTCGTACTTGTTTGTGAAATAGTATGACGTCATATTGTTTTCCTTAGCTAGAAGTGATATAATCAGTGACGTCACATCGTTGCTATTGATCATCACTGGTTGCCTCTAGTAACGTGTGAGACGGCCGTGTGAGACGGGAAAACTCACACGGTAATCAACCAATCAGATTACTGGAATTTTACAGAGCATGTGATAATGCTTTATATGTTTGCAAAGTGATTCGAGTTAAAGTGTCTCACATATTCGATCAAAACTTGCCATGCAAACATGCTAGTCTACTTTACTGGCCCCCCTTGGGAAGGAAGGACAAAACAAAACAAGGAACACAAAACACATTAAAACGTAAACATAAACCAATTAGTCACTTCACTATGAAAGTGAGGGGTGTTAGCAAAGGTATGTTATGGTTCTTGTCTGCAAGTATCATAACAGTTTTTATGTGAACCAATAGGATTCCTTGGACAATTGGGGTTGGAAGCTATAGCTAGGAACTTTCCCTGGCACCTCACTTTGGACCAGTACATTAAAGACACAAGAGTACATTAAAGACACAAGTTCTGTTAGACAATTTTTCAAATAAAAAATTCAAAATTAAAAATTAAAAATTTAACGGAGGCCTTAGGATACAAGTAAGCAGAATTTTAGGACTCCAGGAAAATATAACACGGTTAGTGATTTATTCAATTATTGACTTATGATGTCAGTATGAAGGTTTTGCTTTTGGGACATTCTTTTGTACCTCGATTAGAAGCATATGTTGAATCTGAAGCTGATTATAAAATCAACAGTAGTTTTGACATTTCTTCAATAGACACTAAATTTGTTCATGGAGGTTCAACAATATTAAAGATAAGTAAAAGACTTCATCACATAAGGCAATGGTTGCCAGAAATAGTTATATTACAATGTGGAGGAAATGACATTTCCAATGGTTCTAGGCCTGAAAAAGTCGTATTTGAAATTTCAGAATTTGCGACAAAACTTTTATCTTTGGGAGTTAGACAAGTAGTTATCTGTCAACTCATTAGCCGTTTTAGACTAAGATCAACCAGCAAACTTGATGTTAAGTCATACAATAAAAATGTCTCAATTGCAAACACTTATTTATATCACATCTGCCAAGTTGAAGATAATATTTTATTCTGGCAACATGATGGATTTAGAAAGGCTGAGACTCCAAATATGGACTATTATTGTGATGATTTGGTGCACCTTAGTAACAGTGGAAATAGGAAATTATACAAGAGTATAAGAGGTGCTATATTGTTCCTGAAAAATAAATTGCAATAATGTAAGTCAGTTTTGGGTCTCAGCACTTTTTATTAAGTCAGTTATTTACTTGCTAAATATGTAGATTACTGTTACTTTGTTGATAAAATAATTTGGACTAACAAGTTATGTAATATTTTGACATGTTATTGCTATCGATCATACCATGCCTTGCTGTATAATTTCTTTAGACCAATGGGAGCAACTTATTGGCATGCACATTGTGCAACAGGGCTTGAAGGCCTATATTGATTATTTATCATATAGACATTTTGTCTACATATTGCCCTACCGGAATGGTTTTATTGCCTTGGGAACAGTGCCCTTGTGGAAGGGATGGGCCATAAATACTACGTATTTGTCCATAAATGTTCTGCCCTTTGCGTCGATTTACTTGTGTACTGCAAGTGCTATGACCGATCCTAACATACATTTTGCTATATCTAATGCATATATTTATTTTACCATTAACTGCACTTTTCCAGAGGTGTTGATGGAATGTATATATAAGAAAATATTACTGCCACAATTTTATTTGTTTAAGGAGATGAGTGGACGTGGCAAAGGACGGAAGCCTAGACGTGGCAGATCAGCAGCCAGACGTCTTTCCAGTGCGGGGACGCAGAGTGGCGATGAGCCTGCCCCTAAACGCCCCAGACAGGGGAGCAGCTCTAGTACAGCCTCGGGGAATAATGCGATGGGCAATGGTACAGAAACTCTAGCGTCTGACAAAAATGCCAAGGACACCCATCCAGAATATGTCACAAAATCAGAACTCAAGAGCATCATTCAAGAGGCAATTGCAGAGTTCGCAGAAACAAGGGAAAGTGTATCTGAAGTACTCGACAAAAATGAAAAAACTGTTGCTGAGGAACCTGTTGGTAAGATAACTCAGGGGCAAGGGGAGCAAAAGCAATCATATGTAGAAATAGAGTTACCTTTGGATGCAAGGGTGAGTCTCAAATTGAGACAAAAAATACTAAATGAGGAATTCGTAGAATTTTCTTCCCTTTTAAAAAATGAGATGCATGAGAAACATCAGCTCTCTATAAAACACAATGATGAGGGGGATCCTCAGCTTTATTTTGCTCCTCCTGCCTCAAAGAAAGTGTTGTCATTTGGGGAATGGCAACAGGCAATCAGAATATATTCAACAATACTTACATCCCAAAATGCCTCCATCGCATGTGACCTATTGAAATACAATGATACAATTGTCAGGCTCATGCGGATGGAGGGCAACTGGTATAAGTACGATGAGGAATTCAGGATGTTGAAGGAAAAAAGGCCTGATATGCCTTGGGGTAATCTACATAATGAATTGTTCATTGTAATGTCAGCTCAGAAAAAAGATAAAAATGTAGCTTCTCAAAAGCAAAATTTTAGGCATCGGCAGAAGGGTCAGAGAGGGCAATCAAAGAAAGAGAAGAAGTATGGTTTTTGTTGGAATTGGAATGAGGGGTCTAATGCATGCTTGTCAGATCCTTGTAAATTTTTACCCCATAAATGTTCAACCTGTGAAGGTAATCATAAGGCGATAAATTGTCCAAAGTCAAAGCCTCAGGCTCATAGTGGTTCTGGTTCTTTTCGAAGTAAAACAAAAGAGCAAATTTAATCATGAGCAAATTGAGGATGATTTATTGAGCTTGGAAACTACATCTGTCTTATCAACACCAATTAAGCCAAGTGTTTTGTTTCAATATCTTGAGGGCTATGATGAAAGATCCAGATATTTTCTTTTTCGTGGTTTCACTAAAGGATTTGACATTATGTGTAAGGAATCAAACATCAAAATCGGCACAAATACACAAAATAGTTCAAATCTCAAATCAGCCAATGACAATGAGCATTTGGTCTGGGAAAAGTTAAATAAAGAAATCAAGAAAAATAGAATTTCTGGTCCTCATGATATAAGTGAAAGAATGATAGGTAGTATTTTTGTAAGTCCACTTGGGTTAGTTCCTAAAAAGGATCCAAATAAGTTCAGACTCATTCATCATTTGTCATTCCCATATGGTCAATCAGTTAATGATATGATAGATGATGAATATTGTTCAGTGCAATATGCAACGATAGACGATGCAGTCAACTTAGTAAGGATACATGGCAGGGGTTGCTATCTGAGTAAAACAGACATAGAAAATGCATTTAGATGTTTACCAGTTTCACCAGCTTGTTACAAGTATTTATTCATGAAATTTCGAGGGAAGTACTATTATGATAGAAATCTACCAATGGGATTGAGCATTAGTTGCAGGCTGTTTGAAATCTTCAGTTCAGCATTGCAGTGGATTGCCCTTGCAAAAGTGCAAGTTCATGGGGTCATCCATATCTTGGATGATTTTCTTTTTGTTGCATCTTCATCAGACCAATGCAAGCAAGATCTTGAGGGTTTCATTCAGACTTGTAAACAGATAGGAGTTCCCATTTCCAAGGAAAAAACATATTATCCAGAAACAACTCTATCATTTGTGGGAATTGAGATAGATTCAAAACATTTTTGCCTTCGTATCCCGATTGATAAAGTTGATAGGTGTATTCAGAAGATCAATGAATTATTAGAAATGAGGAAAATGGGAAAGAAAGCTAAGCTAGTTCAGGTCCAATCTGTCATAGGTCTGTTGAATTTTTGTTGCAAGGTGATACCAAGTGGTAGATGTTTTCTCAGGAGGCTTATTAACAGCACAGTAGGCAAAACAAAACCTTATCACAGGGTAAAGATAACAGCCAGTGTTAAATTAGATCTTGAGATGTGGTTATGCTTCCTGGAGGATTTCAATGGAAGTGCAATATTCTTAGATAACAATTGGATCAGTTCTGATCGTCTCTCGCTATTTTCTGACTCAGCGTCCACAAAGGGCTTTGGTGCTTTGTTTGGCAATCATTGGTTTTATGGTCAGTGGAATTCTGAATGGTTGGGCTATAATATAGCAGAGATGGAATTATACCCCATAACACTTAGCATTGAGATTTGGGGTAGTGAAATGTGCAACAAGTCAATCATCTTTTACTGTGATAACCAGGCAGTTGTTGAGATCATAAATAAAATGACTGTCAAACATGACCAGGGAGGTAGGCTTATGTTCTTACTTAGAAAATTAGTCTTGTCATGTTTGAGGCATAACATCTTGTTTAAAGCGGATTGGATTCCCACACATGTAAACAAACAATGTGATTTATTATCACGCTTGCAGGTGGAAAGGTTCAAATTGTTGACACCAGCCGCAGACCAAAGAATGACAAAAATACCAGATTTGCCAACATTCAGGATATAATAAAAAACGCCAACTCTTTATTAAGTAAAGCCTTGGAACCCAGAACAAAAATTGCTTACAAACATGCGTGGGATATGTTAGGACAGTTTTGTATACATTATGGATTTCCATGTATCCTACCAGTACAATCTGATACATTATGTCTGTTTGTATCATACTTGAATAACAAAGGCTATAAGGGGTCTACAATTACATCATATTTATCGGCTATAGGCTACATGCACAAGATAAATGGTTTTGAAGATCCTCAGAAGTGTTTTTTGATTCAAAAATTATTGGTAGGGGCAACTAAAGATAAGAGTTCAGCAGATGCAAGACTACCCATTTCCCTTCCAATATTGCATAAACTGGTTGATGCATTATATAACATCACAGAGAATGGTAGTGAATTTTTACTATTCCGGGCAATGTTCTTATTGGCATTTCATGCCTTTTTGAGGGTAGGTGAGATAACAGTAAGGTCAAAGGAAGAAAGAATAAGAAATTTGATCTTGCAACGACAAGATGTAAAGGTAGTTAAGGAAGTCAATCGAGTCTTTGTAGAACTAACAATTAGACACTTTAAACATAACTCATAAATAGACCATTCTCAATGACAATTAATGCAAAGGATGATGATAGGTATTGTCCAGTAAGTGCAGTGTCCTCTTATTGTAAACATAAGAAACACGAGCAAGGTCCAATGTTTATAACAGCTGATATGACAGCAGTTGGTAGGTCACATTTTGTAAGAGTTCTGAACAGAGCTTTGAAGTACATTGGCTTAGACTCAACCCAATTCAAGTCTCATTCGTTCCGCATTGGCGCTTGTACTCATGCAGCATCTCAGAACATTTCTGATGCTCGTATTAGAGATTTAGGTAGATGGAATAGTAATGCATTCAAAAAATATATACGCATTTCTTCAATGTAAGGGTGTAGAGAGTTAGAGTGATCAGTGCGCAAGTCTTCTAACTTCACATGATATATGATATCTTAAGTTAATGTTTCTGTTATCTCTGACTCAGAGCTGGGAAACCTCAAAAACACATTGGTCAATTTGTCTTCACAGGGGTGAGGACAATATATCCATTGAATTTGTCTCATTAGGGCTGTGAGCAATAAATAACTATTTGATTAATGTTTCACCTGTTTAACTGTTAAACAATGAAGGGTGTCAAAACACATTTATGTAGTTTTTTATAATGACATAAAACTCAGAATAAAATGTATGTACTGAACTGAAAAACATGTATTGTATAAATAATATATGGTGTATGCTTATTTATCTTCATAGTATAGGATATCAAGAACGTTTGTATCTTAAATACCTGCATGTTATCATGTATCTTGTAAAATTGGTCTATCATTGGGGTATCATAGGGTTGTTTACCTCAATTGATGCATCACATACTGTCAAATAATGAAGAATATACTTTGTAAAGGCAAGGGGTTGTCCTTTACTTCTTAGAGTCTTACATATATTATCAACAAAATTATAACCATTTATATAATCTTATACTTAGTGTTATCTAACAAAGTAGTTTTTTATACCTGTTTATATTTGTGCTCTTGCATAATAGTAAGTGTTTATGATGTTATAGACATAGGGTTGTCTATGTCATCATATTCATTATCATTCATTTCTGTTGGTGCGGTTTATTATATTCTCTAGGGCATGACACATGTCTCGAGTAGGCACCTCCAGTGCCTACCTGAGATATGTGCATATGGCCGTCATGCCATCTATTTTATGTAAAATAAAATTTTGAAGCTTTAAATAAAAGTTCACTGTGGCCGTCATGCCATCTATTTTATGTAAAATTAATTTTGAAGCTTTAAATAAAAGTTCACGCCAGTGAACCTTAGCACCAACAGATATGATTTATCTTTTGTTTCATTCTATTATACTGGTGGTGAATATAAAGGTATGTTATGGTTCTTGTCTGCAAGTATCATAACAGTTTTTATGTGAACCAATAGGATTCCTTGGACAATTGGGGTTGGAAGCTATAGCTAGGAACTTTCCCTGGCACCTCACTTTGGACCAGTACATTAAAGACACAAGAGTACATTAAAGACACAAGTTCTATTAGACAATATTTCAAATAAAAAATTCAAAATTAAAAAACCCTCCTCCAACCCCTATCCAACATGCCACCTCTCATCACAAGTTGTAATGTAATGGCTCTGGTGCCATCTATTGTACTAGTGTGCCGTCATGGCCGTCATGCCATCTATTTTATGTAAAATAAAATTTTGAAGCTTTAAATAAAAGTTCACTGTGGCCGTCATGCCATCTATTTTATGTAAAATTAATTTTGAAGCTTTAAATAGGTGAATAGCAAATGTGTATTAGCAGAATACGCTGTGTGCATGAACTAACTCAATATCAGTGGTCATTTACTGTGTCAACTAATGCCTTGGTCACATTTGCTCCAATTTTCACTACGGCGCCCGGCCGATTGAGTATTTTGTTCAAAATTGAATACAATATTGAACAAAACACTCAATCGGCCGGGCGCCGGCCGATGGATCGGAGCATATGTGACCCAGGCATTAGTAACCCTTGCATATCGTGCTCACTCAAGTATTGAATAATTTTTTATGATCTAAATGTTTGTGGTTTATAGAAAAATGTGATATATTTTAGTTAGAAATACATTAATAAATATATTCATTCAAATAGCGCTAGAATGCGGGAAGAAAGCGCAATGGTGACAAAATGCAGACAGAATATTCCGTATGGGTTTCAAACATTTCTGGACACAATCATACATGTACTTCATGTGCCGTACTGTTATTTTTAGTGCTGTACTTATAGATATAATTTCACGTATTAAAATCATATTTTCCAGCAATGACTTTAAATTCGGAACCACCCCCATATCACATTTTCTTCAATAACTCCAAACATGTGTAAACATTGACCATGTGCATGTAAATTCAGATTTCACGAGCTCTTTCCGATTCGAGTACCTCATACACCCCTGCATGGATTTGGAGTTGGATTCGCTTTTTATACGTGAGCCGATACACATCGCAAACGCTGATTGGATAAAGATTGCGCGAATCTTTAATACTCTTTGTGTGACACTTTGAGTGCTGCATTATATGGTTCGACTTTTCACATTGATTGTGTATTGTCCAATTTTGATAAGATATATTATACTATATTTAGAGGGGTGTCTTTGATATAAACGGATGCACTAGACCAGCTGAGCTGAGCGATACTGAACTACGACAAGTACTAACTCTTGATGGTAAACCAGCTATGGGTTCTAGGGAAACCTTACTTGACACGTTGTACCAACTTCAAAATGGTAAAACATCAACACTATGTTTTACATCGCCGTTATACCTGTGTTTAAGTTCGAGAAGCTTTTATCAAGTATTTTAAATAGACAATTGTAATAGAATGAGTACGAGTATGTCAGTCTTTAGCAATTAGTGAAATTCAAAATTTTTAAACAACCAGTTTGTGCACATCATAACTAAACTGTCTTTATTATTTTTAGATTGTCCAAAAATAGATCTGACACAAACGACTAGTCATAGTTATTGCAATGTAGCCCCGGACTGTCTGCGGGTGTCTTGCTGCGTCGATACGACCTTGTTCTTTAGTTACGTCGTATCAAAAGTTTCTATCAGCTTAAACCCATGTGACTACAAACTGACGATAGGGGTCGACGCTTGGAAATTTGAATATTCTATCCGCGATCATTTTATAGGTATTTCAGTCCTTGTTACGACCATGAATAGCATATCTTCTTTCTGGGTTCTTATTAAGTAATCATGACATATATTAACCATTAGTACCATCGAGATACAAATAAAGGATTTAAGCCCAAGACTCAATGCATTGTTTGCTGAATTATACCGTGAAGGTGTTGTTTCCAAACGTTTAGGAAACAACACCTGAGGGGAATGAAGCAGCTACAATGCATTGAGTCTTGGGTTTAAATTCTTTTCACATTGCAATTTTTGTATAAAATCATCTAAAAGGAACGAAATCACCAAAAGAACATTCAATGAATTTTTTGCAAGGGTCAAGTTGGCAAGTCATCAAATCCAATGTGAAAAATCCATTCATCACCATGACAACTGTTTAACTAGTGACCTTGCAGTGTTCTAGCTCATTGATAAGTACTTGCACTTTATAATAGATATTTCTGTGATGGAGATGATATCCGGGGACCCCTACAGCATAGCTGTGACCCAACAGAGAGTTGACGGGGCGATTAAGAAAGTCGGAGAAATCATAAAAGTATGTATTTACGATGGTTTACCTTTACGATCAACGTGATTTAATAATTTACATATATATATTTCTCCGACTGATTCCGGGTTATCTCAAATTGGTTCGTTTATAAATACGAATTTCTTTACCCTTGAAAGACGCGTGCGCAAAATTGATAAACGTGATTGGTTGATGATTTTCTCCTGAGCATGCGCGAAGTCTGATGAACACTTATACTGAAGACATGTAGAGCATTACTAGCTCTCGAACGAAATTGAAAGATTCAGATCATTTTGCTATGTTTGCTAAGCGTGTATACGTGAATGACAAGCTGTTTTGAGTAGATCAGGTACTTGTTTTAGACACAACATTGATTTAGCTTGACACTGAGGTGCACATTCGCACTTTTGAGCATGTTAATACAAGTTTTTATATCCTTAGTAGGAGACGGGTTTTCGAAAAATCCGTTATCTAATTCACTCGATTATCGTTGTGTCTCTGCTGACATTTTAACACCACGTCAAATAGAATTACGAGGCAGAATGATAATAAAACACAAAACAACTACTAAATTCCACTTGTTATTTCACAGTAGGTAAAAATGCACACTGCCTAGATTTTTTGTAAGGGTTGCGCATGTCATAACAGATCGACTGATTGGTTCGTAAAATATAAGCATCTTCTATTTGATTCGTCAAAAGTGATGGCTAATATTGTAACTTGGCTTTCTTGTCGGCGGAGAACTTTTTACTATTTTATACATCACAAAATTTACTATTTAAATCCAGCAAAGTTTGCAAATGAAGGCTTATTCCCTAACTACAAGTTATATGTTATTTGTTCTTGTCTAAATTACAAGCGGTTAGTGTAAAATAACCAAATGGCATCACAATCATAATCTAGTACATTTTATATCACACATAATTTCTCATGACATCGTTAAACAAAGTCACACTTGTGAGATTCCAAGATGACTGAAATCTCAAAAGAGGAGAATAATGTTATGGCCAAATTGATAACCAAGTCTATTGGTAGTGTTCTAAAAAACAACAAAACGTGTAGTGAACGGTATATTTCTATGTCTGTTTCCATATAATGTGCATAAGAGCAGAATTTTATGTATTCCTTAGATCACCCTGTCACTCTCTTTATGCTCAGTTGAAGACCCGGATGTATGCACAGAACGCCTGAATGTTTTTACTGGAGCTCAGTTCATCGTTCCGACTGCTACTGGATGTGGTGGTCACTCTACATCCCCGCCGTTATTTGACAGTAAGTTAATGATTTAGGGAATGCTTACATTAGTCACTCCTTAGGCATTCAAAGCAAGCATGAAATATTATCATTAAAAGTTATTATCTTAAAAATGTAAAGTTAAATTGAGTTATTCTTTAAAAATACAAAATGAGTGGAGAGGAGATGGTTTTCTGCTATAAAATTCACAATGAAACTGTTATTCAATTAAATTATTCTTTATTCAAATTTGGCAATAATATTGTCACTAACCTGCTCAATGTGCCTTTTTTCGCTGCTAACTAGGGGTAGTATTTCAAACCGTTTGTTTAATGTTAACCACTAAGATGGGAATTTTGATAATTTGGACAGGGCTAAAAGGGATGACTATAGGAGGATTGGAAAATCTCGTTGCAACGATCGATGGTGGAGGCTTGTCTGATTTGATGAAGGATATACGGGGAATATATCGGAAGCTGGTGAGTGCAGTATCAGATATGAGGGTTATATTATGGAGGTTTTGGATACAGGGTATATCCCGAGACAAATATAGATAGCTTAACGGGGGCCCGGAAACTAAGTAAAACTGGCTTGTCTGTTGAAGAACACTTCTTCAGAAAATGTATTTCGTTTTGATTGCAAGTGGCTTTTGCCTCTAAAATGGAGTTACACAAGGTAAAACTCTAAAAAAGGTGTGACGTGTATAAAATGTACAGGGTGACAAAAACTTTTCCAGCTTAAATATTTGTGAATATTTAGGAATATTGACGATACCCTGTTGTTAAGTCAATAGTACATACACTGTTGCTCATAAATATGGAATATTTTATAGATATGAACTGTTTGATGGAATTTCTACAAAATGATAACATTTTGATGAACATCTTTATTGTGTTCTCATTCTCTCATCAGTTTTGCATATAAAACTGATTGGTATGAAAAGTTAAAACATTTGTGGTTGATTAAACTTGTATTCACTCAGGTGACACCCCATGACCTCATGATATTGGTAATTTGAAAGAGGTGTCCAAATCTTAGTTGTAATCGTTGTGTACAGTTTATAAAAATCTAATTTAGAGTTGGAAGAATTTTAAGAAGGTATGCCCCATAGAATAAGCGAAAAAGAGCGTGACAGGTCATAGGGATGGCGTTCGCTGGCATGAAACAAACTGCCATTGCCAGGACCCTAGGGGTGTGTCAGGGAACAGTCTCAAAAATTCTGCAGTGGTACCAAAGTCACTGGAATATAACTACAGGTCACAGCAATAGTAGCCCTAGAGAGAAAAATGAAAGAAAAGACCACCACCTGCTGCATTTATGTCATCAAAATCGCTTTAAGTCAACCAGTAGTCTACGAGATGAATGGCTGTCTCACCTCAAAATCCGTGTTTTAGAGCTATAGACAACCAGTGATTTCTTTATAACATATACAAGGCCATGAGACCTTGAGAGAGACCACAGCTGACTGAAAATTGCCTTCAATGGGCAGGAAAGCACCAAAACGTTGGACCTAATCTTTGGTGTAATATGACAGCATGTGAAGAAATAAGATGTGTCCTCCACAAAGTTGATAATCGAGTTTGTTTCTGTCGTAGACCACGGGAAAGAGACAATAAGGACACTTACTGATGTGGCAGTCCATGAAGGCGACCCTATTTATGTTTGGAGCAGTATTACAGAGGTTGTTTGGAGCAGTACTACAGAAGTTGCACCCCCTTGGTGATTCCCAAACATAATTTCAGAGTAAATTGACCTTTTGGACCTCCATCAAGTACCACATGTAAACAGAGTGTTCTGGGGCAACATTCAACTCCAGAATGATCATGCTGTTGCATATGCTAGTGACATCATGTTGGATTACCTCAGGGCAGGCAATGTGGACCAGCTACCATGGGCACAAAAGTAAGCCAATCAGGCTAATGCAGAGCAAATGTGGGACGACCTTGGTTATGACATTCGTGACGTGGACCCCCACCTCAAAATTTAGACACGTTACTAACAATGCTAACATTTGAAAGAGGACACTTTAATCTTCATGACCAGATGTTTATTTCGTTTGATCTGTTTTACATGAAGATTTGGATCGGGGTGTTTTGAAAATGCAAAATTTCTTAACGTACCCCTGTTTAAATTACAGTAATTTTCTAAACTTAAGTATGAATATTTTTTCTCTAAAAAAGGTTGATTTGTAGATGAAATATGTGGTTATGATTTACCTAGAAAATAAATGCCTGAAGCAACTCCAAATAAATGGTCTCTTACTCCAAAACTTGAATTCTGACTGCCAAATCTAATATTACATATTTATGAGCAACAGTGCATATCCATGTTGTTAAGTCATTGCATCGAGTCGTCATTTTCTAAGCGAAAGCCTCCGTCGTCGGATAAACGAAACGTAGTCCAGTGTAGAGCAAATGTGTTGGAACACCATATGGTAGATGGTTTTTGTGGCGAACTCTCGGACAATCTTTATCTAGAGCTCTTAGAAAAACCTGCTCAGTGACTATGGCCAAATTTCGATTATCGAGGTCTACAAACAAATATTGTCACTTTTGTTATTGTTTATATTGTTTTATGTTTTAATATTTGCACAGTTGGATGATGATATCAATAAAATGTTGAATGACCAGTCATCAGAAGACTTCGAGTCCTATGATGTTTGCTTGGACGGAGAAATGCCATTTGGGCCGAAAAGTGTCACATTCTTTGACCTGAAGATGCAAATGATGGTTGGACCTATTCCTTTGGTATTCGGTAAATAAACATTTTAGTTATCCCGAATGTATTTACTATACACAGTGAGTTTTTGCATGTACCCTTTCCATTTCTGACCTGTAATTGTAATTCAGGAATCCAATTATGACTCGAGCAAAAAATACTAACTTAGGTTGCAAGACTTATGGAGGGGAGGGATGCTGAGATTAAATTCATGAGATTAGACAAGTGTCAATATATCGAAACTAGGAAAACACCGCGGTTTGAGAGTGCTGCAATCTGTTTGCCTATTATAATGCAATTGCTAGACAGCTTCAAATATATTAATTTTTTCCAAGAAAAAGACCTCGAAGGAATGCTTGAAGAAGAATTAAAATATATTTTCTATTTCCTCTACACTGTAGACTCCCAGAATAAGCCGAAGTACAACCTTGTTGAACATATGCAATTTGGGAACTTTCAAAACGATTTGAATAGTTTTTTAGATATACAAATAATTTTTTTAAAATTGCAAAAAGCAAAATATTTCAAATCAAGACTTAAAAAGAAACAGAAAAATCGCTCAATATATTTTCAAATAGCTGAACTTCTCAATATATTAACATGAGGTTATGAACTAATGATATAAGTTATGTACGCAGTCATTGTTTTTCAAGGCTTTCGCGGTGGGGGTTCCATCGGTGTTGTCGTTAGCTGTAGGTTCTGCATCCTCTCAATGAAAGTAACGGTAAGAACTAATTTTGAAAGGCCAGAATGGATGAAATGAGATCATATCTTCGTAAGAGAAATTAGTATTACTTTTTTTTACTTGGAGGTTATGGATGTTGGTACTCTACGGTGGGACAGCCGCCCAAATCCATTCAAAAAGTCTGAAAACTCCTCATTCATTTAAGTTTAAAAAATCATTATTTAGTGTCAGTGTAGATGTACATATCTTTACAAAGGGAGGAGTACGGCCTGAGATGGGAATAACTGTATCTGGTTCACTTGGGGTTGGCTTAGCGATACTGAGTGCTGAAGTGAGGATCATAGGACACATTATGACAACTGCTTTCCCAACACGTGTCGGAATAGGTTTCAGCAAGTTCCCATTAGATGCGAGGTATGTGACTTGCATCGTCCTTTCAGAGTTTCTGGTTGGAGCATAATTAGAGTATCCGTCTCTTTTTACTTTTTGCATGAGGAGATGTAGAACATGTCAATGATAGTACGCAGAAAAGAATTGTTAAAGGGTTTAAACGAAAGCCTGAACGGTAAGTACATTACTCAATATAGGAATGTTACTTATTGAGTATAATTATATTTTGTAGTATGGGGATGGATTTAGAGTTAACACCATTACGGCTGGCTTTGGAGACAGGTCTCACAAGTTCGATAGTTGGAGATATATTCATGATAAATGTTTGGCAATACACGACTCCAGTCATTAAGAAAAATATTTTTTCTTTGAACGAACCGAAAAAAGATGATTCGCCTCCAGCATTCAGCGCCTATGCGGTAAAGCAATTTATGTCAATAAAAGTATTACCAATCGACCATCTTTTTCAATTAAATTGATTAGAGCCAACAAAAAAACTAAGCCCAAAACCCTGTTAATGAATTTTTTCAATTAAATTGATTCGAGCCAACAAAAAGTACTAGAAGCCAAGCCAAGTGCCGTGTTAAAGAAGCCCTATTCTTAATATTGACATATTTGAGAGGTCCATTTGTTCCTCTGACTCGATGCACTCGTGATCGATACGAATGATAATGTATAAAAAAGAGAAAAGGCCGCTGTGACAACAAGTGGATATTCTTAACAGGAGCTGTATGTAAAAATCCCAAAACGATTGTTATGATGAGATTAATGCGATCTTCTGTTAGATGAGAGAGTAAAACATTTTGTCCACCGGGTTATACATTTAATATTCATTCATTTAGTAATTTATTTTAGAAACCAAAATCAGCATTGATGACACGAAGCTCAAGCAAAGTAGAATGTTCTGTTAAACAGCTTCCTAACAGAGACCATACTGAACCTGCATTTTTACTAGGGGTTGAAGTGTCCGACGAAGAGAGTCAGGTAGATACTGAATACTGCGTAGGAACGCATAGAGGTGGTTGCAATGAAGTCGCTGTTGAACCAATGGGAGGATTCTCAACTATTGTTGCAAAGGTATGTACTTAACAACCACTAAGTGGCTCGTGCTACACATAAATCTTTCCTTTAGTTTGCCTACTTTCGATCATTTTGATGCTGCAAAATAGCTACACAACTTTTTTTGGGTTTCAGCCAATGACATCCGGTATACCATTGTACTTTCTAATAATCGCATCAAACAACCAGGGTGCAAGTGCCAGTATCGAATGTGAACTTCCAACGTATGATATGACACTACCAAAAGGTAGAATGATTCCGGATTTCCATATCACCAGTCATCCACATATTTTAAGAGCATCTGGAATGGCCGTTGATGACACCCCTCTCAGGCAACATGCTGTATGTGTTTACAGATAATCATTTAAATAAACGTGCAATGAAGCAGCCGTTGTTACAGAAATCAGTAGTTTACTAAGTTGTACACTGAAATCGTAATATAGCTGACATAAATCTAATTGGACTTCGCCAACAATATCAATATCATATGCATTATATATTTCCGCAAGTTAATTCAAAGATTGTGAGAAAATAAAACAACAATGATAAATGATTGAGAAATGGCCAGCAATAATCACATTTATCGACTGGTGTATAATTGTTTATCAAGCCAGTAACCTTTGTATACTATGCTTAGCTGGCGGTTGGCTATGGTCATGGTATATTTGGTGATCAGGAGGTCGCTTGGCACATCATTCCAGCTAACAAGTCATCATCAGTGGATATTATAGATGATGAGTTTAACAGTCGTATACTTGAGCACTTTACAGGTATTCTCGGTTTAACATTTTGTTAATCATAATCTCTTTAAATTTTAAAGAAATGTGGATATGTCAGTTTGTTTCATGTGCATAGTTTAAATTTAGATTTTCAGCTGTAAAATCTCAGAGATAAATGAATTTCAAAACACATGTAGTAATCTAGATTTGATTTAAATAAAAACTGCAAAACAATACACTATTGCATGCACTTTGCTATATCCTCTCAGCTGCACGACTTGGTAAACTCGTAGCCAAAGCAAAACACCCCATGAAACCACACGCTGTCTCCACTTGGAAGACAGTGCGGGGATGTGCCAAGGAATGTAAGAAATACTCACCAGCAAAATGTACAAGCTTTAACTATGACTATGGAGACGCTGGTACTTGCGAATTGCTTGAATTTGTGGAAGGAAATGAGGCAGAACTACACGAGGTAATTAGATTTAATATTTGATGATATATGTAACATTCGGACTGTGGCGCAACCAAGTATTCGTCAATACTTGATCACAAAGCATCTTATTTATATTGGTGCATCTAAATTCCTCAGACCCATAATCTTAAATGCTATCGCATTTAATTGATGTGGGATATCACACCCTTCATTTTCCAAAATCATATTGCTCGTTTGGAAATAGAAGGATGGGTGTCAGAGTAGCCAGTGTATTTCAAAATGCTTCATTATCTATTTGCTTTCAGTCTGGATTTTTCCATCACTTTGAACGACTTGGTGCAGGTCATTCTGGAAAGTACAACTACGAAAAGCTAGACTTGTCTCACAATGCGACGTATTATTTCAACTATCAAATCGTTAATACATTGGGTAAGCTACGTAAGGGGATCATGAAAAAAAATGTAAAACCTTATTTATATGGTATCAAGACAATCAACGTAGTGTGGGATGATAGGGGAAGGGTGTATTGGACATTGTTTCTTTTCACGTTAGATCGCGGTTTTTGGGATGTATGGGATTTGTTTTTCTTATGACTGGAATACACTTATAGTTTGCTTTTCGTCTTTTCCCCTTGGCACTTGTGCTTAGATATTGATATGCATATAAAACTAATTTACTTTACATACGATGTATACATACTGATGTTAGAATTTCCCTAAATAGGTTATGAAAGCATTCTTACATCCAAATCCATCCTCGCTGACTTCACACCACCGTCGCCTGGACCAATACCAGAACATTTATCAAGTCAGTTCACCCATGAGAGGTGTCTAGATATTACAACTGATGTATTTGAAGAGAGGTGTATAGACCAGACACCACTTAAGAACTACAGGTAATATGAGTTTTTTACAAACTCCTTATATTTCTGTAGCATTTGTATATTTTCGTTATATTTACACTAAACAGTTCACATACGCATGTTCAAACATAAATTACCGTTTCTAACATTTGACCGCAACATGTTACATATGATATGTCTGGCATAATATCTGTCATTATGTGTATTCTGGGATATTAAAGGAGATTTTCACATTGTTTGCTTTAAAGGGTAATCGTCGATGGAGTAACAGAGCCTGATGGCCCACATTCGCTGTGTGTATTCAATGGAGACGAGGATATGGTTGATATGAGATGGACACGAGATAGTAAATATTGCTCTGGTATGTACTCAAAACCTAATTCATGGTTATAACGGGTGCTTTTTATTTTACGTTGTACAGATATACTGATTATGCATACAATTTTAAACGTTCAGTTGTTTGTATTGACCAAACCTGTCTGTTGGTTGAGAGACAGTTCCATAAATCAACCAACATATGAATTTCAGCTAACTGGGATGGGTTTCATGACAACGAGACTGGTATATTCAACTACCTGGTGTCTGTTGGAACTGACCTATGCTTGGACAACCATCACATACACAAGGACCCTCATTCTCATATCGTTTATGAGTCTGAATGGACACATGAGGCGATGCTTTATCCCCTCCACATGCCAGGTATTATGCCATAGTTAAAAATTATTTTTACAAGAATGAAATTGTAGCCAATAATAAATTACAAAATATCTAATTCTAATATTTTAAGACAAATCGAGGTTTTTCACAGAATACTAGTATGCATTACACCATCAATAATCTTTGGCAGCACGTTCTTTTCAGTTGTATATATTTGGGGAGTTGCCTATGTGTAATAGTCATTAAATGTACACTTGGACATATATTCAGCAATACGATTTTAGATGGATACTACCATATCAATGTACGAGCATTGAACAAGGTTGAATTCGGAGGTCCTATGGCTCTGACTGTGTGTCACAGTTTACCGTATATTGTTGACACCACGCCACCTCTTGTTCATCATGTTCTGACACTATCATATAGTGAATACACACACGTGATAGAAATGACGTATAACGTAAGGTAAATAGAATACACATATAATTAATCTCCCTCACGCCAAAAGAAACAATGGCAAACACCACTAAAGGACTTAGTTAGATGACGTTATTGGTTTTATACAATTTACATGACTTCCATTGTTTGGTGTTTCTGGTTTTGATAATTCGCTATGCATATACAATTTACATGACTTCCATTGTATGGTGTTTCTGGTTTTGATAATTCGCTATGCATGTACTTACAATTTTTTTTCATTTTAGCGATCCTCTATCTGATATAAGAGAGGTTGACTTTTGTCTTGGGAGAAGTAGACGTGACTGCTACGTATCTGACTGGGATAGATATCCAAATACAACACATCTTCAGAAAATACAATACATCCCTGATGGTATTCCAGCATGGCCGAAAATAAGGGCAATAAACAATGGTAAGATGGTAAAGATATGTTATACTAAATACTAGGTGCAGTTGTGCAACATATCTAACATCCACATCTTATTTACCACCTAATAATTTAGTATTGACATTTTTGTTTATAACTCTATATTACCTTTAGTGGATCTTAGGGAGGTTGGGCCTACCAATGTTCCGATCACTATAGACACAACGCCACCTATAGCAGGAGACCTATTTGACGGATGGATACACAATATAGATTTTCAATACCAAAACGCAAATGATAGATTGTGCGCTAACTGGAGGAATTTTCATGATCCGGACAGTGGGTTAAGTAAGTCAAAATATGACTTGTATAATTATTACTTACCAATGTTAATATACAAAATATCCACCATAATATATATATTTATCCCATACTTGGACGTGTTACCAGGGCCGTCAGATGGGGGGGTGCGATGGGTGCGACCGCACCCCCCTTTGTCACCCCCCAAAATAAATTTTAAAAAAAATTTTTGGAATTTTTTTTAAAATTTTTTTTCATTGACTCATACACTTTGAAAGTACCCAGAAAGCACCAAATAGCATCTTAGAATTGTAAAATTTTCTAGGGGCATTGGCCACCCCTCAAACCCCCCACAAAACAATGGAAAAGTTCTAAATTTATTTTAGTGTTTTGTCTCAGATACTTTTAAAGTGCCCAGACATTATCAAATAGCTCCTTGATATAGTAAGTGTTTCTGGGGGACTTGCTCCCCCTCTTGCATCTTGCACTTGCATAACCCCCCCCCCCCTCTGGCGCCCCCCCCCCCTTGACCCCCCCCCAAAAAAAAAAATTGTGATTTTTTCAAATTCTTTAATTGACTCATACACAGAAAGCACCAAATAGCGTCGTAAAATTGTAAAATTTTCTCGGGGAAGTGGGCCACCTCTCACACCCCAAACTAAACAATGGAAAAGTTCTGAATTTGTTTTATGTATTGACATTTTTAATAATATCCTTGATAAAGTAAATGATTCTGGAAGACTAACACTTACTCGCCCTCTGGCATCCCCACTCCACCTCCCCCTCTGGCAGCCCCCCCCCCTAACACCCCCCTCTGAAAGTGCCCAGAAAGCACCAAATGGCACCTTAAAATTGTAAAATTTCTTGGAAAATAGGCACTTTTAGGCACAGACACTTTTAAAGTGCCCAAACTTCATCGAATAGCACCTTGATATTGTAAATTTTGATATGGTGGGCAAACACTTGCTCCCCCTCTGTCACCCCAGCCCCACCTCCCCCTCTGGCACCCCTGCCCCCTTTGACACCCCCAAACTTTGAAAAAAATTGTGACTGTTTTTCAATGTTTTTATTGACTAATACACTTTAAAAGTGCCCAGAAGCACCAAATATCATCTTTAAATTGTAAAATTTTCTAGGAGAGTTAGCCACCCCTCACATTCCCCACAAAACAAAAGAAAATATTCTGAATTTCATGTATTGTCTGAGACATTTTTTAAGTGCCCAGACATCATCAAATAGCACCTTGATATGGTCAATGTTTCTGGGGGACAACCCCTTGCTCCCCTACTGGCACCCCACCCCACTTCACCCTCTCATCCTATTTGACACCCCCAAAAGAATTTGAAAAAAAATTCACATTTTTCTTATTGACTCATAACGCACAGGCGTACCAGATGGTTGCAAATTCGCTCCAAATACAACCGGCAAATTTCAAAATTTTCCTGGGGAAGGACCCCAGACCCCCCTGAATGCTTGGTTTTTATTCACTCAACTCTTATTCCCGTGGTGGTGGCGTACTACTTGCAAACTTACACTTTGAAAGTGCCCAGAAAGCACCAAATAGCATCTCAAAACTGTAAAATTTTCTAGGGAGAGTGGACCATTCCTCACGACCCCCACAAAACAATTGGAACGTTTGGAAGTTGCATTTGTTAATTCCAAACCAATATAGAGAGTAACTGAGCCCCCCCCCCCCCCCCCATCTGACTTACGCGATTTGATTTACGCGGCAAAAAAATGACAATTTTATATTCTCTTTAGTAAGCTAAAAACCGCACCCCCCTTGGAGAAAAGTGTCTTACGGGCCTGGTTACAGGTACATAAAGCCGGTTTGTAAAAACTTATATTTTCATCAGCGGGCAGATATACATGTAGCTTTACGTCCCGCTCCGAGCGGGCATATATAGTATATCTGACCGCTACGTCATAATCGCCGCTCGCATATTGTTTCATAATTTGTAACGTTCGGGTGATAACTATAAACGACAATGGAGAAAAACGTAGACAATCGCGATCTGTTTGATGGTTTAAAAAAGGGAAGGAGCATCCAGTTAATCAATCAAATATTCGAGACAATAAATGTGGGAATATCTGAGAGAAAAGATAAATCCGGCCACGGCCAAGAAAAAAAAATGGACATGGATATTCTAAATTATTTCTACGGTTGAACAATGTGAACCAGATGACCAAGATTGGTATGGGATAAACATATTATCCTAAAGTTGGTTCGGGATATTTGGATTATCCCTTGGCCAATATACATGTAATATATCTTCCCTCGGGACATACGGCCCTCGGGCAGATATATTATACAATATAATATATCTTCCCTCGGGACATACGGCCCTCGGGCAGATATATTATATTGGCCTCGGGATAATCCCAATATCCTGAATCTCATATAGGATAATCTCTATATACATATATATATATTACTTTTCTATTTAAAATAACGTTCAGAGAAAAGAGGTGTGATGAAAATCAGTGATCAATATTATATTTTCTCTTCTATAGTTGGATACCAGATAGGGTTTGGGACAGAAGAAGGCATGATTGATGTTGTACCATTAACAAATCTCGGCCATTATGAATATGATGCTTGTGTCTACTCATTCACTGACATGACCACTCTGGTGCACAACACAACCTACTATACTATTCTCTATGCCTTTAATGGGGGTCATCGACAACTCAACGTCTCGGTGATATCAGATGGAGGTTTGATGTCGACATTTGCCAGTTTTCTTAAATTGAATCAATGTTTAGATAAGATACCTACTCAACCGTATTTAATTGTATACATACTTTTTTGGGAACATTGAATAGGCCTAAATATAACTCTTTTTCTGTCTCGTACTGTCTATTATGACTTGGTTCTGGTCAGATCTGTATTCATTTTAGCAATGCACCTAGTCGTAACTTCTCATACAAGAGCATTCATTGCCTTTGAACGTTTCAGTTCTTGTTGATATGACAAACCCGGTGCGTGGTTGGATGAAGGATGGTCTAGACAAAGACATTGACAGAAACTTCACATCCAAGACCGCAAGTGTACTGGTTAACTGGGGTGGATTTGAAGACCCAGAGTCTGGTATCGATGACTATTCATTAGCTGTATATAGAAGAAGACTATCTGGTGGTACGGATGAGATGAGCATTATACATCAACCGGAATCAGTTGGAGGCACGGTTAATTCAATAAACTGGCACCATTTCCACCATCACCATGGTGACTTCTTATACGTTGAGATGCAAACAACAAACGGGGCAGGATCAACCATTACAACAACCTCATCAGGAGTTACAGTAGATTTAACAGCTCCAGAGGTGCAATACCTTGGTGACGGCGTCGAACCTGAAACAAATGCTCAATTCTCCGTACGTAAATCCAAATCTATATCTAAACACCAAGTGTATATCAAGACTACTAGTAATTTACATGAAACGGTTTGTTTTTCTAGTTGTTAACATACGTATATCTCTACTTTACAGAGTAGTCTAGATGAGTTGGCAGCAAACTGGTTATTTTATGACCCAGAATCTGGGATAAATCACCACCAATTTACTGTGTATGAGCTGCACGGTGGCACAACAAAGCAGATATTCCCCATTGGGTAATGTATAGATAACATATACAGTGAAAACATTTAAGTTGAATATTACTTGACTGAGTAAATTAAATGTAAAACTAGATTGAAATTATATACATATTATATATTTAATATATAATCGATTTTTTTCAGTGATGAGCCATTGGAATTGGATTCGGGCGTCACTGTATATACTGCTAAATCTCTAAATCTTAAAGCAGGGGCACTGTATAACATCCGTGTATCGGCTGTGAATAATGCTGGGCTAACATCAGTACATAACACTGATGGCGTTAAGGTTGACCCAACACCACCAATGGTATGTATTTTACTTTGCATTCATCTCATAATTGGTTTGATGTTGTAGAAGTTCATGCATATGTAAGAATTTTCTTCATTTGACGTGGTCACTGATTCCAGATGCAGTATGTACGTGTTGGCGTTTCTGCCGGAGAGATGGAAGATATTATAGATGGCATGGTGGTATCTGCTGACAACACTGGTATCCAGGCAACGTGGCTGGCAATCGACCCCGAGAGTGGTATCCAGGATTATTACGTTGCAGTTGGGACCTCTCCGAGTAAATCTTATTTTATTCTGTCGATCATGTTGAATTTTGTCCCTGTATATTGTATCTGCGGAATACACGGGGGTAAAGCAGACCCGATGATGCAATGAGCTTGCTCGGCGGTATCATGTCTGTGTAACGGGTCTTAATGTATAATTGTGCTCGGCGGTAGGTTCAAACAACGCGGATCCTCAAAGCATGTGCTCATGGTATATTCATGTTTTAACACCCGTGGAATAATAACCTGTCAGGTGCATATACAAAAATGCTTTATTTTTCAAGTTTATAAAAGCATGGTGGTTAGAAGTAAGGGGATCAAAATTGTAGGCATCTACCTAGATTTTTTATTATGCAAATAAATAAAACTATCACCTTTCGTAAACTACTGCGATTGATTGCAGGTGACACTGATATATTGGATTATCACGAAATGGGGTCTGGCACTGATGGGTACTTGGACAATTTGAATCTTCTGTTGTTTAATGACTTCACGAAAGGACCTCTATATTATATCAATGTTAAAGCACGGAATGGAGCAGGAGAATTTTCCAAAAATATAACATCGAAGTAAGTCACGTACATATTTCCAATGGTACTTCTAATTGATGTATACGAACATGTATTAGCTAAATATATTATAATGTCATTTTTTATCTATTAGGCCTATTAAGATAATCGAAGCTGATGCCGCTGGAATAATCTCAGATGGCGTTAGAGGTATTCCAGATGTGAACAAACAGCGAGACAAGGCAACAGTCACAGCCCACTTTGAAGGATTCAGGAGTGGATTTGGTAAGTAATGTAACATTTACAAAACGTTTAAAATAAATTATACAATTAATGTTTTATCCCAATCTACTATTCTTAAAGGATACACTACATTCGAGTGGGCCGTCGGCACTGGTCAGGGGTTGGATGACATTCGCCCATTTTCCACAAAAGGAATTATAATAGATGGTGATAATGAAACTGATGTTGGTATAAAGACAAACTACTCGGGAACAGTACACGCCCCAGTGCATCTTGTACATACATATTCATATCACGTGACAGTCAGGGGAAGAACGGGCAAGAGCAACACTCTGGAAGGTGTGTCTAACGGATTCATCGTTGATCTTACACCACCACAGGTATGACATAAAAATAAAATACTTCAACTTCAAGGGGGCCAATTGCACCATTCTCTCTACCTTACAAGTAGTTATTAAGCAACACTATTGCAATACTGCCTTTACAGTGACGTTTCGTTTTACCCCTGATTTTGACCCATGATTTGGCCCGCGGTTTGTGTCGGAAATATTGTTTTTTTAATATTCGAAATAATTGCTTTTTTCGAATAATTTTTTTTATTTAAAACAGTCACCAAACATGCTATATTTTCATCCATTTTCATTCATACCTACAGGTATCATTGGCAGACATCGGAGTTGATCTTAATGTCAATAACACACTTATAACAAATCCTATATCGCTGTATCAGCCATCTGTAGACTCTATCACCGCCGATTGGAATATTTCTGACCCCGAGAGTAACATCGCATGGTCCAGTTACTGCTATGGTACGATACCAGGCCGATGTGAGGTTCACAATATGACACTAGCTGGCGGGGCATCTGGGGTGCAGGCAGGACAAGTACGACCAGCCACGGGTGGGAAACCCAACTTCTTGTTGATTCTATCAGAGAACCAGGTAAAATGATTATCGAGCTAAATTAACATATTAATAATAGTATTTATACCGTACCCAATGAATATCGAGGTAGATAAAACGCTGGAATATGATAGTTCACATTTTTAAGTTTTTAAATCAATATTCAAAAATCCATTTTGGATCCAAGAAGCCCTATAGGTACGTAATACTAAAATGTACTGTCGGTTTTGAATAACATTTCTCCTTCGGTCCCACACACTACTAATCCCTACGCGTTGACTGTAATCTCAAACAGGTCGGACTTGAAAAGCGACTTCACAGTCCTCCGTTAATAGCCGACAACAGCGCACCAACAGAAGGACTGATACAATGTACGCAATATCTCAAGGAGAACGAAGACATCGTGTGTAGCTGGACAGGGTTCGTGGATGCAGAAAGTGGCGTGGACAACTTTGCTTCAGGGCTTGGAGAACGGGAAGGCGAAGATAATATACATGAATTTGTAATCCTTCCACCGTATACGCAAACCATCGTGTTTAGAGGTATGTATTTACAAACAGTCAATTTTATGTTACATGTACTAGTTACCGTAAATTCTTTATTATAGCATTTTTAAATTTTGATATGCTGAAGGATAATACATGGGAAAAAATATTAAATAACGGATGAAGATTTTAAACATTTTTGTTTCAAATCATTCATCAAAACTCCTAGTTGTACTTTCAGAATACCGAAATTTGAATCTACCTGCGGGTCAATATTTCATGACTTTGAAAACAACAAATGCTGCTGGTTTGACACTTGAGTCATACTCCTTACCAATTTTTGTGGATGGAACGCCACCAGTGCCTGGCAGGGTTGTTGAATTAAATGACGTTATACAAGTTAATACATCGACATCTTCAAATGCAAGCTGGTCACATAGAGGGTGTTCTTCTGAAGATGGTGAGTAAAAGAGATGCATTGTTATAATATTATAAAATCTATTAGTATTCTGATAGTTCATGTATAAGCATTTTGTACACAACGACACTTCATGTTTCTATGTGGTTTTTGGTATAAGTGTATCCATTGAACACTTTGAGCCTAAGTCTTTATTGGAATTAAATTGCTTATTTGGAATAATCGTTTTCGTTTTGTTTTCATTGCAAGAAGGATCACACCTTTTAACATATACGATAAAACACTTTTTGAAATAAAAAAAAAGTTTCACATATCACACTTGGATAACATTTGGTAAGATTGTTTAAACTTTATATAGGCGCTTTAAATGTATTTTCATTTAAATCGTAAAATAATGACCATAGTCAAAGGCTGCACTTTGCACGTTGTTCTTGTGTTTTTTTTGTTCTTTTTTCTTTGTTAATTTCATCAGCCAGTATCGTATGTTACAGATTGTAAAAATGCTGATTCAAAATGTCAAACCTCCATGACGAATCTCCACGCTAGTTGGATGCATTTTACAGATGATGAATCACTAATTGTGAAGTAAGTATGAAATTGACAACTTTAAACAATACATTTATGAATTGTACAGACCTGCACATGAATTGTCAGTTGGACACCAACTTTATATCATAATTTCAGGTATGAGGTTGCTGTTGGGAACACTTCAGGTGGTTCTGAACTTAAACCATTTTTCGATGTTCCACCAGACATCAATGTTGTCAACATAGACCATCTTGATTTGACCCAACAAAAACAGGTACATTCATAAATACACTTATAAAAACAGTGTCACATGACATTATTCATACAAACGATAACATTTTTAATTTCCTATAATTATCATGAACCTATTCAGGAAATCTTCATAATCAATTTGGAGTTTTCCATATCATGTGACTTAACGTTATATTTATTTGAAACGCTGGTACTTTAAAGGTGTTTGTTATCGTACGAGCAACCAACGCAGCAGGACTCCAATCTACTTCAATATCAAACGGTGTCTTCATCAGTCGTATTTCTGCGGGACTTTCACCATTGGGTTCATTTACTGTTTTTGATGGTGATTCACCTGGAAAAGACATGTAATGTATTTTAGTATTTTACGTTACTCACTTATAGTTTTATTACTAAATAGTTTACTTGGTTTGTAATATTACATTTATTACATTACATTATATTAACTCTATAATGGGTCTACTTTGAAGGGACTACCAAAAGGACAGAGAGCAGTTAACTGCCACTTGGAACTTCAGTGGCGACCCATGCCCGATGGAGAGTTACACTTGGAGTATAAAAAGACTTGATAGCACTGTTTTCATGAAACCAGAACAGCTACCTGAAGGTACAAATGAGCATTATCGTGTAGTTAGTGTATTAACATTGAATTCGGAATATTAGAAAATTGTATACAGCAAAAAGTTCTACTTACTTATTAGGTCAACTATTCGGAACATATGATGGGTTGAACTTGCAAGACGGGGACGAATTCTATGTCATTGTACAGGGGGTGAATTCCCTCGGATATGTACACACTGAACGTTCTGATGGTATAACTGTAAGACAAGAACCACTAATGCCGGGTATTGTACGAGATGGGCCTGTTTTCGGAGTTGATTTCAATGTGCAACCTTCCATAACAGAGCTATGGGGAAACTGGGATGCATTTGGAAAAACAAAAGAGGAAAATCCAGATTTGATTGATGGTGGTGAGCATATTTGTTATTTCACTTCAGATTTACTTCACGGTTCAGATAATTCGCACCATAAAAAATTATTTAAGAAACATACCATGTGCAAGGACTATGTTTATAATCTGTTCTTTTCGAATTTTCATTAGGTAACCCTGATATTGATCCCAGGATCGGAGGCCATCAAGAAATAATTTACTACGAAGTTGCAGTTGGAAATGACCGTCGCTATCCCAACACGAGAACAAACATTCATCCATTTGTTCGGGTAGATTTAAATCAATCTTACCACTTTACCGATCTAGAATTGTTACCAGGAATAGGACACTATTATATTACTGTGAGAGCATTTGGTAGTTCTAGTGCCTCACGTACCCAGACATCAAATGGCATACGAGTTGGTGTTGGGGGAACAGTTGTAAGACAAGGACAAATGCAACTCGCAGAGTACGTAGTTTTCATTTTAGTACTGTATTTATAGGCTGTCAGAATAGAGGGTTAAAAAAGTTTTAATGCCCAGTTTTGGTGCCATTGAAGAGCCTATAATACCAAGTTGTGTAATGTACTTGTTAGCAAATATAAAAGATGAGCTGATAGATGTATGTAAACGAAAATGAAAATTATATTTGTATTTTCAGCTGTATTCCATCAACCAACGACATATCATTTTCCTGGCAAGATTTTGAGTTTGGTTTACCTATTATGTTTTACCAATGGGGTATTTCTTCCAATCTGTCTGCTGTGAAGGACTTGAGCTGCAAACAATTGGTAAATGCCTTTTCATATTATTGTAAATATTAACATGTATTTAGTAACTATGAATGGAATTGAAAGATTTATGATTAAATACTTATCATACTGAAGTTACCCTAATTGTGTCCTTTTCTTTGTAGCAATTATTTGAACATAAGGTTGCCGAAAATTCTAAATACCTCGAAGCATTCGATATTCAGCCAATGACAAACGTTTTGAAAGCTACCCTTGTAGAACAAGACGACCTAAAAATGCAACATGGGAATGTGTACCTGGTTGTTGTCATAGCAACCGATGAATCTGCAATATGCTCAATGGTTACCAAGGAAATATTAGTTGATACAACGCCTCCCATTTCTGGAATTGTAACAGTTGGTCCTAAAAATGACCTGGTGAGTGAAATACCTTAACCTATGACAATTAAAATTCATTTTTAAAGATTAACGTATACATTACTTGGGATTTTGCACTGCAAGTTTCTTTTTACTTTCGGATTTTCATTTAGGGCGTCATGTTTGCTGATCAAACTGACAGACTGACAGTATCTTGGCAAAATTACACAGATCCCGATTCTAATATAGAAAACTATAGAGTGACCTTGTTTCAAGGGAAACTATGTGTAGAAGGGGATATGAGGACCCCATCAATTGCTATAACAGAAGCTGTTGTTTTAGAACCCGAGGAAACATCATATACATTCTACCAGTTGTATCTTAAGGTATTTTCGAAAATTTTATAAAATCTTGATAAGTGTTTATCACTAACATTATACCTTGTATTTCGGTCAAGGCTTTGCAAATCCTATCACATGTAGTAGTTTGGGCGGGCATTTCAAACTTGGATCATAACTTACATCCTATACTACTCATATCTCTCCCTTAGAACGATAGAACTTACTTCATACAAATGGAGGCAAGCAATTGCGCAGGTCTCATAGCTACCAGCTATACTGTGCCAATCTTGTTGGACCAACATCCACCACTACCAGGTGTAGTTAAAGATGGTATTGACTACAGTACAGATGTGGAATTCCAAACGTCTACAGCATATATAAATGGTGAGTCGAATTACTGATAAAATAAAAACACTTCGTATTCAAATACTTTTTACAAAATAATTTTTAAAAAGATATAGTTTTTTGGCAATGAACATTTTGCTTTGTTGTAGCTTCATTTTTGCATCAGTTAAAACCATCGGGAGATGCTGATATATGTCCTGAGAACATCGTGGACCTAACAATGGCAACCTGGAACCCAATCAACCACGTTGGTATATGGGGAGTGGAGGGAAATGTAAAACACGAGAAACATCTAGTAAGCATTTAACTCCAAATTCCTGTCACTTCTTAAAATAATTATCTCAAGTACTTCTCGATTAATGCATCCAGATAACGTTTAGATCTAGAGTTTGTTTTATGGCTGGTGAATTAATAATTAATACGCCATTGATTGAATGAGGATTCTATGATTTAAACTGGCAATTAAGCTTTACTGATCTCCGTCCAAAGCAATAGATCCATAATTGCTTCAATCAGTTGCAACTATACCATTGATAATGTAGCAGTCTCCCATCCTAGTATTTTTAAACATGATTTGTCATTACTATTAGTCTAATATCATCTTATTGTTCACAGTCTAGTAGTGAGGGTGGTTTTCTTGAATTAAATATGATCCCCGATGTGAAGACAAAACGTATGTTAGCTGGAGCTGTGGAAATGACAATAGATGGCACCTCTGGGAAATATAAAGTAAGAAGCCATGGTGCATTGTAGTACTACAATTCTTAAAATCGCGGATTCGGTAGTATTGAATCTCTAATAAAGATGGCGCGAAAGTTTTTCCTTATAAGGTCAAAATATTTCCCATGATGCAGTTCGCGGGGGAACAAAATTTTTCTACCTTGTTTTTCCCCGTTGGTTTAACATGGGGATTTTCATACCCATTTTTCAAGCGATATTTTCGATCGAATCTCCATGCGATCGGAGAAAACAAACTATCAGAAACAATTAGTCTTTTAATAATCTTTATATAACATATATTTTTTTTCATTTTATTGGCTCCTAACGGGGTGAAAACAATGATTGAAAATGGGAGTATATTCCGGAAGAGAAGAAGTCACGTGACTAGTCGCCATATTGGAAAAAGCAATTCCATTCGACTTTCAACACGTTCATGCCAATATTACCGCACTACAAACTGTAACATCGATGCAACAACTGAATAAAAGTACTCATCTTCATATTACATTATAGAGTTACGTTGAAAACCCACAAACAACTGAGCATTTGACCAAAGAAGACACGTCGCTATTATCTAGGTCAAGTTTAGTGGTTCGAAAGCAAATCTTACATACTCGTTTCCGAATTTTGTTGTTAATTGTATAATCTTTTATTGATTAAATCTGGTATACTGACTATTAATTCAATGACAAAGAAGAAGAATTCCGATGGTGTCATTTTTTTATTTAGCTTGCGGGTGTAAAAACAAAATTGCGTAATTAATTTGATTTAGAACTTTCGGGTCTCACAAATAGCTACACGAAATGCATCGTTGAAAAATATTGACCAATCAAATTTTGTCCTTTTTGAGTACATATATGCACCATATATGCGAACGTTCTGATTCAAAGAGCGAACAGCGAAATGGAGAATTATCTATCTATATTGTACGATTCTACATGTAGCTTATGTGAACTCAAGTTACACACCACTATTTACAACGTTTACTAGCGCATCTCTTCTAAACAGTATTAGTTTTTGAAGTTTTCGAATGCTAGTACTCTAGGGTCCAGCACATCTGCCATTCAAACAATGTAATTTATATAGCCCAACTATTTGGATAGCCCAACTATCATATATGTGTTCCACAACCATTATTAGATCACCAAAAAGTTTCCTTTCAATTTTCAATAATTTGAATGATACTAATTTGAAACCATTGCAGTTTGAAATGAAAGCAGCTATGTCAGACTTATATGGGGTGACTAGTGTGGTGCTGAGGGAGGGCCCTCCTGGTGTTTTTGTTGATTATGACATCAATATAACAGAACATTTATTATTAGGTAAGAATAAAGATTGAATATCCCATGAATATATATTTGCTGTTCAAAAATGTATTTTAGCGAAACACCAAAGAACGTCGAAATTTTTCAGTGTTCTTTAATATTTTTGATATTTTTTGTTTACTTGGGAATAGTTATCCCATAGAACGAAATTTGTAGGGATAAAGAGAAGCCGTTCCTTTGTCCGTCTGTCCGTACGTCCGTTCGTTCGTTCGTTTGTCCGTTCGTGTGTGTGTGTCCGGGGGATAAACAAATTCCAGTAAACGGATTTGATTCAAAATTTATAGACTAATGCCTTATGGTTGTAGGACTTGCTCGAGAAGTCATTTTCAAGTGTTTTCCACCTTACCATTGGATAAACGAATATCCTATGGTTTTGAAAAAGTGTCGACTCTGTGATATCATGTAAATGATATTTTGATCATAAGTATTACATAAAGTCAAATCCATGGTGTCATTTCAAATTCACTTTGTTTGAATAAATATTAATTTTGTATTTATTATCTACCTGATAACATTACAGGAAATACTTCACAAACGATGCTACTCAATGGTGGCGTAATTTCTACAGATACAAAATCATATACTTTGGAGGATGATTCCTACACTGGTCCATTAAATGCATCAATGTTACAGAACTCCTGTGGATTCCAGCTGCACCCAGGTAGAGTCCACAATATCAGTATATTACCAAGCATCAAATACAGTATAATTTACAACGAGCTTTAAACAGTATTAACATTTCATTTGCAAGTTCAAAATCCAAATACCTGAAAACCATAATACCATAACGTGATCAGAGCGGAAATTTGTTGACACAACATATCTTGAGAACAATTTTCATATGTTTTTGCAAGAGTATACTGATATTAAATACCTTTTGTCCCTGCGCATATATAATATAGACTATTCAACATCATTATTACAGCATTACCTGGCAAAAATAGCAGTTATGCAGCGTTGTGGTGTAAATGGCTTAATGATCCAAAGCAGTCCAAAAAAGAAATATCACTCTTGGATTTCGATCCGTCAACTGCCTTCCATGTATACACCATCATATTGAAAAAGGTATAATGCATGTCAAAATGGAAACAAATAAGGACTTGATCATACGAGACTTTAAAGTTACAGATCTGGAAATCGTATCCAAAGGGTTTAAGTAACCAAGTATTAAGTATTGATTATTGCAATATGTTACTTTACTTATATGCATTTCATGTGCTTTTTATATATAGTAATATCTATATACTCGTTAACCCATTTTTGACATTTGATTTTTTTATATTTGTTATTATGCGGCAAATAGCGGATAAAATTTATTTTAAAATAACATGAATGATGTATTTGTGTAGGAGGCAAACTCAATTGAACTTGCAGTAGATGGAAAGGTAATAATAGTAATGTACCAAATCCCAAGGCTAGACGCTCCATTACTTCTAAGTATGGCAGTCCGGAACAAGGATTTCTTTTATCCAAAGGCATACGATCCATTTAATCGACCCTCTGTTCAGGCGTCTTTTGCCCAAATCAGGTATTGCGATGTGTAGTTTCAATAATACCCTCCAGCAGTAAAAATATTAAATTGCTTTAGACAGAATAATATCCTATCTTTGTGTATCAAAAATTTTCAGTTTAATTGAGCTCCTGACATTTCTCGTAATAATTAAATTTAATTTTTTTTGACATTTGACTTTTGAAAACACATCAAATGTTTTAGTCTGCCACAAATTAAAGGAACCCCATGCAATTATGGCAAGCCCTTTCAAAATACAGGAACGGGTATAACAACCTTCAGTATGGGACTAGGAACAAATAAAATTGTGGCAGACGTGATACCATTCCAGCAGGTATGCTGTTTGTAGTACCTATGATAGCTTAACAGGAAGAAACATCGAACCAAAGCGAAATTAATTTCTTATTCGCATTTTTATGTGTCTTCCCCTCTGTTGATGTAACATTGCCATTTCGTTTCCATGTTGTACTTTATTAATGGTTTATATCTCCACAATTAGGAGTATTTTTTATTGGATGAAAGAAAATGGAAATTAGAAATGTATTTCTGGTTGGTTTTCACTCGGTATATACCAGTCAACGTCGAACTTCTCTCTCATAAGCGTCATATGTATGTACTATAGCTATAACCGACGATAAACTGACTGTTTTATATTTTCAGGTGGTTACAACGTGTCTACCGTGTATTGCACCATGTGATGCTATGTTCTGTGATAAGTCCTGTGTTGAACCAATGAAGATGTACACTGTTGTTTGGGATGACCTTAATTTAGATGATAAACAATATTTCAACACCACCCTAAACGAAACTGGAACTGTTGCCGCTACATACTTTGTACACGTGAAAGCCTTAACTGGTAATTGGTATTTGTTAAATTATGTGCAGTGGAGAAAAGTTTGAATTTATTTGGTTCTATAACACCAACTCCTCTCCCGAATGGACACTTAAAATATAGCTCAAACTATAATGAATATTTTGCAGAAAGAAATCGTTATTTCCCATGCCCATCATTTTTCACAACTTAAAATGTTTAGGCATCATCCCAATCTTATCGCTTTGATTTTGCTCATGTCCAACATTATAACATAAAAGTAAGAGGTCATCATTTACCATGTATGGTTTATTAGGATCAGGATTGTATACGACAGCGACATCCAACGGAATTACCATAGACACAACTCCCCCATTGATAGATATATTGTATCACTTGGACTTGTCGGTGTCTGATAAGAACAAAGTATACATTCAGGGTCAAAATCGTACAATTGGCGCAAGATGGGATGGCTTTGATCTGGAGAGTAAGGTTGGTAAACTTGCAACGTTAATGAAGAGGTATAGGAAACTTTTTTTCATACGTTAAGATTAAAGGGTTGGGTAATGGGTATATCATTTCTTTCAAACCGACCCTTATTATATTACCCAGAAAATATCAAATTAGTTTACAAGAAACATTGTGACCTTAAATTATGCTACTTCAGTGACACAGTTACCACATGCTTTGGACCCTCTTCTTGTGTTCTACGGAAATCCGAAACTGCATACAGTCACAACATAGATGACAAAGAAACACCTGACCATTTCCGATTGCATTTGCATATCTATTGTTTTCTATGAGCTACTTTATTCAAGGGAAAGATCAATACCCGGTGATTTCAGCGGGAAGTGGCGTTTCGTTCAGTGGATGAGCTGCGCGCGCACGCATAAATGTGATTATCCAATATAATTACTATAAGCACAGTGACCTACAGAGGGCGCTATCACAAACAAGTACTGCACGAACCGATAAATTCCCGGGTATTGTAACGCCCTTGCTTTATTGCACACTCATTTAAAAACACTATCCATGATTCAGGTTGTTGGGTTTGAATGGGCAATAGGAACCGAACCGTTCCTGACTGACATACAGTCCTTCCGCTGGATGGGTACTCAAAAGATTGGTAAAAGTGACGATCTAAGTGATGTACTTCAAGATGGACACACATACTATGTATCTGTTAGGGTTACAAATCGTGCGGGTGGACAAACGGTCAACTCTACATCGGGTATGTAACATCATTGATAACCACGCCCCCCCCCATAATTGTTTATCCTTAGATGTCAGTCGGCAATTCCGAGAAATGTCTTTTTTCGCGCAGCTTTTAGAGCTGAGTACTTCTGAGACTTCTCGCATGAATAATATCATTACACAATGTTTGTGTTTTAAAAGGTGTCATGGTAGCTCTGCCTAAGAACATCACTGCCTATGTAGAGGTAAATACAACATGTAGGTCATCGTATGACATACCTAGCAACCTAACAAGTAATGTCAGTGTGTGTGGAGATCAAAATGGCATTGGTATAAACTGGAAGCAAGAAACGACAAAGCCTGGTGACTATGCAATGATCTGTGAGTTCGTTTTTTGAAAACGAATCTAATTAATCTTCATAAATGATCCCAATTTAACTAAGACATAAAATGTATTGTTGGGTAGCATATTATAAACACGATACCAAATGCCAAAAGAGAATATAAAACTATTCTGTTGTTAAGATTTCATTGCGGGATCTACTGAATCGTCAGATGATATCATTTCCAAAGTAAACATAGCCCCCAAAGAAAAGCAAGGGGACTTTGAGTTTGGATCCCTGGAGGTGGAAGATGGTGAAATTATAATGGAACCGTATGGGAGAATGAATATATCAGAAGCCAAGGGGGTCTATGATCCAAAATCTGTTGGTTTAAATAGATTCCGAATGGAACCAGGAAGGTAAATTGATGTCTCCAAAAACCTGTCACTGTTGTTCTGTTTACATTATCAGTATAGGAAAAAACACATCAATTTATATATTAGTTATCATACGTTCTGTGTAACAAAAATCATAATGTATCACGTATTGAGGAAAAAGCTAGATTCTGAGCGAAATGCATTATTAGTGTTGTTGTAAAGTTATTAATTATTTTCTATGTACCCCCTACTTTTGTCATAAATATTGATTTTTCCTAAACGCTATGAAACTTTGCTTAATTATTGCCAAATTGTGGTGAGAATTACAAAATAGGATGTAACTAATATGGTCTCCAAATTTCTACCTCCATACCATAGCTTAGCTATAACCATTGTATTTATTATTTAGGACCATCTACACAAGTATAGAGGCTTGCCAACCAGGTGATGTCTGCTCAATAGTTGCCTCATCAAAACAGTTAAAAATGAGATCCACTGACATGATTAAGCCTGCCGATGAAGGATGTGAGATGTCAGTTGATTTACCTGACACGCCTGTTAAAGTTCACGCTTACGGCGCTAACGCAGATAGTCTACTGGCTTGTGGAACTTTGAATGAGCATGATGTAGAGGAAGAGTTCATGTCTGATGGCTCTCTTAGGTTCAAACCATATGTAGTAGACCCAAGAACTACAATGAATAGAACGGACCGTTTTCTGAGGAATAGGTATGTAAGAAGATAAACATGCTGATGACCACTTGAACTGAAACCCATGGTTCTGAGCAATTTACATGAAGTTGTTGTAGTGATCAAAACGATTTCCATTGTTAACGTTTTAGCTCATTCAGTGCCAGTTAGTTGAACGTAAAGAGGGACAAACAAAACTAGTGAATATTAAGTTAGGAGTTTATAGAAATGCAGACAAGGGAAAATAAAGATATGTATTTATAAACCTTATAAAGAAAACGGTATTTAACTAATATATTATGTATTTAACATCGGTTATTTCTTGCCCTGACCATACTTAAAATTGTTTCTAAAATATTTTACTGTAGGTTGGGAAAATGGAGTGGTGTAAGTTTCTTTGTCAATACAGTGAACAGGAATTTAAATGGTTTCTTGACTTTAGATGTATATGCAGCTAACATTGACCAAACGACAAGTAACTTGACTCTCATATCCTGGGATTCAGGTATAGTATACTGAAATTTGTATTCCTAACATACAGATGTAATGATTAGGGATTAAGTCAGTTAAAACTGAAAAAACTGATGTGTTTTGGTCGGTAATAAACATTTCGATTTTCTGTTGGACTACCCCATCAGACCGGGGTGGCGTCAGTAGTTCTTACTGCATGTATTGCACTGCATTGCATTACATTGCTGCTAACTTGAAATAATAATTATTATTTTTCTATAATCTTTGATTTAAACTCATTTTAATTTAATCAGACACACTGGTTTGGAGGAAAGTAAACACAGACTGTGAAGGAGTTGAAAGTGTAACGGATGAACCTGGAGTTATGAAATTCCAAATCTGCTCAGATGCTTCAGAAATGACAAAAAGACAAAAACGTCAAACAACACATTATGGTGGCAAAACGCAATTTGCACTGAGTGAAGTTAATGAGCAATTTAAGAATACCCCTCCAAAAATAACATCACGCGACCACATGAACATTACAGAGCATAGTGGTCAGAGATTTTCGTTTAAACTAAGTGCTCGGGACGAAGAGGGTGACAAGGTTGTATTTCTTATTGATAAAACGAAACCAGGTCCTGTATTAGGTACCGTTACAATAGAGCGAGACGGAACATTTATTTATAAGATGTTTCCACATTACTATGGCTCAGACCCTATACACTTCATAGTTCAAGAGGTTAGAACTGATACTCAGGAGAGTTTAAAGACTCTGGGAACTATAACTGTTAATATTGAACAAGAAAACGACAATCCAGTGGCTAATGTAATCTATGAAGGGGTGTACAAGGTTCCTGTGCCATATCATGGTGTAGATGTAACAGTTGAGCAGTATGTACGTCAGGACATTCACACAAGTCTAAATTTCCTTCTCGGTGTCTACGACTACGATGTGCTCGACGATATTGCATTAAACGTCCGAAATTCATCTAATGGAACGACGATGTTAACTGGCCCAATTACGAATTTCACTTTTAGCCTACAAAATTGTAGTGATGCAGAAACCCATCAGCAAAAAAGGAAGCAAAAATGGGTAAAATTGTTCAACAATTTTGATGGAATCATACCTTATCCATGCCTCTTTCCGAACCTGTCATTACCCATTGACCATATAGCATGGTTATTCTACTTGGTAGAATACACTCCAAATAAAGATTTCGTTGGAGTAGACCGTATTCAAGTCATTGCCAGTGATCAGGATGAAGCTATGTCTGATCCGTTGGACATTAACATATATGTGCTGGAGAACAAATGCCAGAACAATGCAGTATGTAATGGGGAGGCAGTGAATGATACGGATTGCTCCAGTACTAATAGAAGTAGAGGGTTCGAGGGATACAAATGTGATTGTCAACTAGGTAATTAACAAAGATACCTAACTATCTATATAATAATTTTGTTTAAAGGACTTGTGCTTCACACAATTTACATTCTCCATGATTTTCTTCTCTATTGGAGAGTTAAACTACATAGATATTTTCATGATTAAAACACTAAACTCGATAGCAAGAACTCAAAGCCTAATACAATCAGAATCTATATGTATTGTAAAAGTACAGCAAAACCTGTCTAAGTGGAACACCTTTGGTACCTCTACAAAGTGTTCCACTTGGATTAAGTAAGTGGCTCCCTAGACTCTGAAAAGTATTTCACTAACAGATGTGTTCCACTTCTAGGACTGTTACCGTGTTACCTTTCCAGGTTTCATTGTATTGAACTTGGGAAACTCATTTATTATGCTATTTTTAGGTTATTCTGGAGATTACTGTGAACAGAATATTGATGAGTGTCTCTCATCACCTTGTCGACCTGACTACACGTGTGTTGATAAGATAAATAGTTTCGTTTGTGAATGCGATCCACGTTCGCCATGTGCTGGCTATCCTTGGTGGGCCTGGTTAATTGTCGGTCTTGGTTCCTCGATATTGATCTTAATCATAGTTGTAATCATTTGCAAATGTAAAAAGAAGACAAAGACGGGGAAAACGGTAAACTTTAGATAAATGTTTTAATATAAAACAAAATCAATCTGTTTCCCGAATAATTACATCAGCAGTATTTCGTTCTATTCTTACGTTTTAAAAGGTTCGGGTACATGTACACTGTAAATAGGTTAATGCAAACAATTCTAGGCGGCTATATCTTGGATTATGACTATTTTCTGACCATGAAGACAGGTATATCTTTTAGAATCATTCATTAAATCAAAGAAAAGTATATGCAATGATAATAAAGCCAATCGGACTCGATATTTAACTTGCAATCAACCCATCAACATGCCTTTTCGAAGATGTTGACCTCATTTTAACCAAAAAAAACAATCATTTTACAATTTGTAAATGCATTATTATTCTTTATTTTGATGTATCAATTAGTTCTTGAAAGTAAAACTGAATTCCTCTTTAGATTGGCGTTCGTCGTGTTATTTCCCCATTGAAAAACTTGCTCAGGCATTGGTTTTAGCTAATTTTGCTCATCCAAACTCAGTTTTTTTAAAGTCGCTGTTAAAATACACCTTTCCTTTTAGGAAAACACATTGTAATTATGCATTCAACATTATAATAAACGGTTGGATTTTAGCAAAAAGGTACACTCGTACGTTCATGATCAGAAAATGTTCATAATTCAAGTTAGAATCGTCTGAAATTGTTTGCGATAACCTACGTGGTCCTTTGGCAATACATGTTATAGGCTTTCTGTTTCAGGAACCCCAAAGTAGCACTAACCAAGGTTTTGAAATGCCCGGCCACCCTGGCGCCATGCATATGACGACCATGTCGCCGGATGTTAGGGATCCCCGGTCATATAAGAACAGGGACTCCAATAATACTTCTGGTAATCTTGGCGCATGGTCAAGTAGTGCACGTCCTTTGAGCAGAACACAAGTAGGAAAAATGCAAACAACAGGTGGCCAAATGGACAAGGTGTCTGGACTATGGCCTAATAAAACGGACGGTGCTCGACCAATGCCCAACCGTAGTAATCTTAGTGCTTTAAGACTAGGCAAGAATGAACCAAACGAAGCAACCAATCCTGGTCGAAATGGTGACCAATGGCAAAACGAATCGAACGATTTACCTCAGGATTACCAACTGCCGGGAAGTATGGAGAGTAGATGGTGAACTTGGACCTGAGCAACGCCATAAGATTATACCGAACTGCTGGATAAATGATAATTATAACATTGACAAGTAATTCACTGAAAAGACTGTGGACTGTCGTAAACTATGAATAAATACATACGCTGGCTTGATAAAGTTAGGGCATATAGTGCATTACTTCTGGGACAACCCTCGTATGCACGTTATCTGTAACTGAATGTGCACATTGCTTTATATATGTGTTGTCAGACGATTAAAGTAAATAAGTCAAAAGTGATTCAATTCAAATAGATGTTTGATTTACATATGATCAAAATGAATAATTAATCAAAGCACATGAATGTCTTAGTTTTCCTATAAGTATATTTAGTTTACCACCTAAAATATGAAGGTGAGCAATGCCTCTTGGGTATATCCCGTATCTACCTATATACGGTTTTAATTAACGCATGTAATTATTCATAATCTTGAAGCTGCGGCCAGAATCCTTGTATGAAGTTGTATAAAGTTTAAATTTCGACCACAAGGACCAAAGTCCTAACCTAGGAGAGACAAAAAAGCTATGAAAACAATCAGAAAAGTAATATCGTAATGCACAATCAAACGGGGAGGGGTCGAACGACGTAATCTTATGAGATTTGGTATGGTCACGTGCGTTGTGTTTGTATGTTGGTTTGTGTTATGATCCGGTGCATTGTGTTGTACTCTGACGGGTTATGTTGTAGTCACATGACTTTTTGTGTTGCGTTTTTATGGTGGTTTGTGTTATAGTCTGATGCACGGTGTTGTAGTCTGACAGGTTATGCTGTAGTCACATGACTTTTTGTGTTGTGCTTTATGGTGGCACCATCCGATTGAAAAACCTTTGTTTTCGTGTGGAGTAAGAGGCTACAATTGACACCAAGGGGGGCATGAGCGACAAAAAATTATTCACTAGATTTCCAAATTGTGGAAATGGAGGGAAATATGAATTTTGGCACCTTCAAAAAAGGTACATTTAGACAAGTTATGTGCAAAATTCACCCATAATACTTCAAGGAGGATTGGCTCCCAGAGTGCACCACCGATATTCTGTCCCATATATGGGTATGTCGTAATACAAAATTCGAATTCAAACAGCCGCCATTTTGTTCACTTCAACATTTAAATCGTGAATTTTGGTCTTATTTCCAAACGAAAAATTCCAAAACTCACAAGAAATGATCGAGATATTGGTTCGAATCTTTTGAACTGTTTATTTTGAATTTATAGTCGGTTTTAATTTCAGAAAATAACGACATTTCGACGTTTTCATTGTTGGAAAATATCGAGTTTCGATCCTGGGAGCCAATCCTCCTTGCATAATACTTCTATCTTTTACTATCGATTGTGTCTAGCATATTGAGTGCACCTGTGACTGGAAGATTTAGAAAAAATTGGAATGTTCATTTTTTTATTTTTGGTTGTTTATAATACCCCTGTTGTCAATTTAACCCTCTAATTCTACAAGAAAACAAAGGTTTTTAATGGGCTGGTTTCATATTGTAAATCTATAAAATGAAATATAGTACATGGCATGGTTTAACATATATCATACAATATTCCAATCTTTAAACTTGGGTATTAGATTTTTGGCACACCCAGTACAAAATCTTGATCAATGGAAAACCAGTATTGACCTTTACAAACTACTCTTAATCGAGAACTTAAAACGATACAACATGGCTTGAAACAAATAAACTTTTACGCAACGGTAAGACGAAATATATATATATATATATAGCCATACTTCAAAAATGAAAATGTGTAATGCTAATAACATACACATTTTTATAAATGATCAAAAAAGAGTTACTGTATAACAAATTTTTATATAGGCCTAATCATTGATCAACATTTGATTGATCAACATTAAATGTAGTAAGAACCCAAGTGGATAGAGACCTTTGTCCACAACTTTTAAAGACCTTAAAATCGTATAAAATTGATATTACTAAAATGGTTTTTAAATTGAGACACAAAATCAGCAACTATAAAGCTAAAGATTTTCATACATATAACAAGTTGGAGGTAATTTATAAATCAAACTTTTCTTAAACAAATTATAAATCAAACTTTTCTTAAACAAAAAATATGGCAAAAACTATAGCCTTATTAGTAATCCATAAGGAACAGTCTCCCAGAAGAAATAAAAAGTTAAATTCTGAATGCGTTGTGTTATAGAACTAGTCTGATGAGTTGTGTCCCAGCTAACAAATTTACGTTGTGATAACGTCGTTAGAATATATGTCTCAAGTTGTAGCAACGTTAATATGGAACGTTGTAGGTACAGGAAGGTGTGGACTCGCACAGATGTTTAAAGAACGTTTCATTTGCCTTAAATATCACGAGCCAGGAACGTAGTAGCGACCTTAACAATAATGTCGCCAAAATAACGAGACTGTAACGTACTTACATTACGTCATATATACGTGGCCAATCTAAAGTTCTGGTAACGTTGATATTGAACATTGTAGGTACAGGAAGGTGTGGACTCGCACAGATGTTTAAATAACGTTACATTTGACTTTAATATCACGAGCCAGGAACGTAGTAGCGACCTTAACAACTACGTCGCCAAAATAACGAGACTGTAACGTACTTACATTACGTCATATCATATATACGTGACCAATCTTAAGTTCTAGTAACGTTAATATGGAACGTTGTAGGTACAGGAAGGTGTGGACTCGCACAGATGTTTAAAGAACGTCACATTTGGCTTAAATATCACGAGCCAGGAACGTAGTAGCGACCTTAACAACTACGTCGCCAAAATAACGAGACTGTAACGTACTTACATTACGTCATATATACGTGACCAATCTAAAGTTCTAGTAACGTTGATATGGAACGTTGTAGGTACAAGAAGGTGTGGACTCGCACAGATGTTTAAAGAACGTTACATTTGGCTTAAATATCACGAGCCAGGAACGTAGTAGGGACCTTAACAACTACGTCGCCAAAATAACGAGACTGTAACGTACTTACATTACGTCATATATACGTGGCCAATCTAAAGTTCTAGTAACTTTGATATGGAACGTTGTGGGTACAGGAAGGTGTGGACTCGCACAGATGTTTCAAGAACGTTGCATTTGACTTAAGTATCACGTGCCAGGAATGTAGAACCAACCGTAACAATGACTTCGCAAAATAACGATGCAACGTCACATATACATGGCCGGTTCAAAGTTCTGATACGTTAATTATGGAACGTTGTAGGTACAGGAAGGTGTGGACTCGCACAGATGTTTAAAGAACGTTACATTTGACTTAAATATCACGTGCCAGGAATGTAGAACCAACATAAATAATGACTTCGCAAAAATAACGACACTGTAATGTGCTTATGCAACGTCACATAAACGTGACCGGTTCAAAGTTCTGGTACGTTAATTATGGAACGTTGTAGGTACAGGAAGGTGTGGACTCGCACAGATGTTTAAAGAACGTTGCATTTGACTTAAATATCACGTGCCAGGAATGTAGACACTAAACAAAGTTCTGAAAACATATGCAACGTTGTAGGCACAGGAAGGTGTGGACTCGCAAAGATGTTTATTAAACGTTACATTTTACTTAAATAGCATGTGCTAGAAATGTAGTAGCAACTTTAATAATAACTGCAAAAATAAGATCACAGACTTTAACGTGCTTATGCAACGTCACATATACGTGGCCAAGTTAAAGTTCTGGTAACATTAACTATAGAACGTTGTAGGCAAACTTCTGGTTACGTTAAGTTAGGACAACATGTGCAAGGAATGTTCTTGTAACCTTAATTATGACATCAACAAAATATAGTGACAGTAATGACCAACTGACCAAGGTCCAGTTAAATGAACCATAACATGAACATATAGCTAATTTAAAGTTCCTGTACAGGAAGATGTAGACACCGATGTTCAGTAAAATTATATATAACACACTAAGCCTAACGTTTTCACATGTGAAGGTAAAACACAACTATATAACTTATGCTTTGACTTAACAAATGTATATTGTTTTTCCAATAATTAATGAGTTAATACACAAGAAATTTTTATCCATCAAAAAATTATCCTATCATTAATAAGTTTTATTAAGTGTATTATTAACCCCTAAACGATTAGGGGGTGGGGAGATATGCCGTTCTGGCTTTTCTTAAAATTGAATGAGGCATATCTTAACTAATAAATTGTGACTCTACCCCCCCCCCTTCCCCTAGAAAAGCTAGTGCTGGTTAAAGTTACTGATATGTCCAAATTGTCAGTAGTTTTGACATGAAATGAACCCCTATGTTTTTAGAATATGAATTTCTTCATTGATAATTGCTCAATATAGTTATAAGTAAACTTGTAACCTTTCCAATGATACCTAATATACCCTTGTCTAATATTTCATCTGTTCATTTCCGAGATTGTGCCCAGATCTCGGCAGATCTGCTCACACCCTTTACTATGAATGTAATTATCTATAGCCTAACTGTTTAGGGGTTATATTGTTATTTTTTCTGAACTGGAAATAATAAATATTCTAATTTGAGCTTGAACAAATGCTCCATTGGTTAACATGGCATTGATTTTCAATAAGCAATAATGACCTTTTAAGTGGGAAAAGAATCTAGAAAAATTGCTTGTTTCAGATATAAGGCCATTTTATCTATGCAATCTTAAAAGTGCTGTCCCGGTACTTGTTATAGAGATAAAAACTTAATTCAAACTGGCTTTCTTCTCAGAACAGATAATGTTTATGCTAAGAGTTCATTTTTTCTTGAAAGCATGAGCTCTCATTGGTCCTCATCACTTCCCAAATGTTTCTTCAAATGACTTGTACAGCTCAGTCGTTGTTTCCCTGTGTGCATGTTTAACCCATTGCCATTTCTGCTTGTTTTTGAACATTTTCCTGGAAAAAATCAATCTATTAAAAAGTATGAAATGTAACCTGTATACCCATACATGTCATACCTGCTCTGTATATTTTGCAGTTTCATTTTCAACCAAAATTGACATAGGGATCTGTTCTTTACAATCTCAGATACAATATGTCTCAAAGGTCTACAATGTGTTCTAAATCAGTAAGTTATTAGGGATTAAAGTGCATAAATCGGGAAAATGTTTAAATTCTTTCAAATATATAAATAGTACCCCACACACAATTTTGTCGCCTACTTTGATGTATTGTAGAAAAATATCCAAAAAGAGTTTGCTTATAAAATTTGGCATACTTAAACTTGAAACATTTTGTGACACTCAAATTTTTTTTATTTGGAAATTTGAGTAATATTGACGAAAAACAAGCAATTTTGAA